CTCCCTCCCTCCCTTCCTTCCTTCCTTCCTTCCTTTCTTCCCTTTTTGTTGTTTGTTTTTTGGAGACAGGGTTTCTCTGTATAACAGCTCTAGTTAGCCTGGTACTCCCTTTGTAGACCAGACTGGCCTTGAACTCACAGAGATCTATCTGCCTCTGCCTCTCAAGTGCTGGGCTATAACAAATTCTTATAAACACATCTCCCAATTTCAGTAATTATCAACATAAGACCAATCTATTTTTATATGTAATCTGATTTTTCACCCCCTTCTCCACTAAAGCATTTTGAAGTAGTTTTCCAGCATAGTTTTTCATCTATAGCTATTTCAGTGTTTAGTGATAGAATATTAATAAAAGTACAGCCCCAGACACAGCATGGTAGTGCATGCTTCTAAACCAACACTTGAGATGCAGAAGCAGGCAGAAATGCAGCCTGGTCTATATAGAGAGTTCCAGGCCAGCCAGGGTAACATATTAAAAACTTATCTCAAGAAAGAAAGAAAGAAAAAGAGGGAAAAGAAAAAGAGCTACATTTGTAATTTTCTGTTTGATATCAATATCATTATTGTCATAACAGTCATCCAGGACCTAGAGGTTATACATTAGATTTGGTTGATAACTTTTAAAGTATCCTTTGAATTCTCACTAGCCCTCCCCCTTTTCCATTGTACTTCATTTGTTAAGTTAATTATGTTTTAGAACTTCCAGTCTGGAATCAGAAGTTCAAGGTTAGTCTCAAACTTAGTGAGCTTGAGGCCAACCTGGGATACTTGGGATCCTGATTCCAAACAAAACAAGGAGAAAAAAAAAGCCACATTTTTTTTTCTTCCCGTATTTTGCTGTTTGCACTTTAGCATGTTTCTCTGTTCTAGGGTATAGTTTCTAGAAACTACTAATTGGATTTGAGGCTTGGTCAGATTTACCTCAGGTATTTTTTTTTCAAGTGTGTTTCATAGATGATATTGTAAATTTGACATCAAATTAAATTTGAGGCATATACTATTTGGTTGTCTTTTTAATTTTAAGATTAGCTGGTGCTAGGTGATGGTAGCCCATGCTTTTAATCCCAGCACTCAGGAGGCAGAGACAGGTGGATCTCTGTGAGTTTGAGGTAGTTCCAGGAGAGCTAGTGCTGGTATACAGAGAAACTCTGTTTTGAAAGCCTAATTAATTTAAAAATAGTATAATGGGAAAAACTTTCCCAAATCCTGGCTTACCACTCTAGTTTAATATTTTGGTATATTTTCTTATGTATTTCTTTGGTATTCTTGCATTATTTAATCCTGTTTTTGAACATTGGCTTGTTTAGGTTTCATTGTTATAAATAGTGCTTTTAGAAAATATCTTGGTCCATACAGTCTGGTAAGTTAAGATTGTATCAAAGTGGATTCCGAAACTATAATTCACCAGTCAGAAGATAAGTATTACTTTAAAGTTCTAGTCAGGAATGGTGATCTAAGAATGTAACCTCAACTACTCAGAAGGCTGAGGGATCAAGATCACAAGTGGACCTGCGTGGACCCCAGAGTTAAGTTCAAGGTCAGCTTGCCTGAGCAACTTAATGAGAGCTTGTCTTGAAATTGAAAGAAATGAAGGTCTAGGAGTGCTGTTAGTGGAGGAGCTCTTGCCTAACATATATAAACCCTGATTTCAGTTTCTGCTATTGTAAAAACAAATAAGTTATTTTAAGTTTTACATATAGCCTGTGGTGATTTGAATAGGCATGACCTCCATAGACTCCTGTGTTTGAATGCTTAATCCGTAGAAGTGGCACTATTAGATGTGGCCTTGTTGGAGGAAATGTATCACTGTGGGAGTGGGTTTTGAAACTACATCCAGCACACAATTCACTTTTTGTTGCTTACCTCTTCAATACCATGTCTGCCTGCATGCTGCCATGTTTCTCTCCATGGCAATAATGGTGATCAGAGGGCAGCTAGTGGAAGTCAGGTCTCTCTTCCACAGTGTGGATCCTTTGATAGATTCTGGGACTTCAGCTCAGGTATTAGGGTTTCTCTGTAGCCCTGGCTGTCCTGGAACTTGCTCTATAGATCAGACTGGCCTCGAACTCACAGAGATACATCTTCCTCTATTTCCCAAATGCTGGGATTAAAGGTGTGTACCACTACACCTGACCATATTTTGTTTTTTTTTTCATGGGTGCTAGGGATCAAATTCAGGTTTGTATAACAAGTACTTAACTGGAACCTAATTGGTATTATGTAATACCTGGTATAATCCAGGTATTATACAAGCTCCAGATTCAAATAATTAATAGACTACATTATTTCATGAACTAATAAAAGTTTTCTAAAGTCTCTGTATAATGTGTTAAGTGTAAGGAAGGCTTGCTTTGAAGATAAATGTTTAGTTTTTCTTATGGCAAAGACTAGACAACATTTGATTAAATAACCTGCAAGGTCATTAAGATAGACTATGATTTTATAAGCAGGTATCTTTTGATGTGAGACAAATGTTTATATCGCCTGGCTCAATCCATTAATACCCAGTAGAAGTCAGAAGTGGTCCTAATGTAGTGGAAAAGACCAGCTGTGCTTACTGTTCTAATCTTCCTCACTTATAAAATGGAACACAGAAGGATTTGTAAAGATTGGTGCTTATGTTAGTTGGTCTTCATCTGTAGCTATCATTACTGTATTTCATAGAGTACTTTACTGGAATATGTTTCATGTCAGAATTATGGCGAGGGAATGTATATGTCCTTTCATTGATTGCTGCAAGTACAGGTAGCGCACAGAAACCTTCCTTGGAGTGAACTAGATTTTTAGATCTCATGGTTTGGCAAACAGGAAATGTCTTGTAATTGGCAGTTTTGATCACAAGTGTTATTTGGGTTTTCCAGTCAGGGGACTTCTTCCCCACAGAACAGTTTTAAACTGTTTCTTCTTATGAATGTTGTCTTTTCTTTTATACCCTAAACCTACTGCCTGCTAACTTTTTTTTTCTTTTTTTAATGGGAAAGTGTTGACTCGGAAACGGAGAGAGGCCAGGAATAAAAGTGACAGTAAGACATCTACACGGACTGCCCTGGACATCAACAAGTAAGTAGCCACAATGCTTTCATTGAATTCTTGTCTAACACATTATTATTTGGACTGAGTGAAGAGACTGGTTCTTGTCACCATGTATTTCTTTGGTTTCCTGTTCTTCCTCTTTCAGTTGAAAGCCTGAATTTCCTTTTCTTACTAGTTTATTTCAGTATATGTTTCCCAACTTTAATGGTTCTGTTTCTGCATTGCTCTTAGGTTTCTGTATTCTTTGAATTTATATATTGATGTTTGGTGCTTTGGGGAAACAGTGAGCATTTTGCAATGTTGTATAGAAGTTGAGTTGCAGGAGGTTGAGCAATATAGACTTCCTTGGGATGTGGGTTGTAGCTTGACTAAGAGAGCTCATTCTGAGGAAGGGGTCAGGTATAGATGCTGCCCTTCTAAAAGCAAAGTCATCATTTCTTTGTGCTAAAAACATTAAAAACCCTTAGGACTCCCTATTACTATCTAGCTGTAACTTAGTACTAACAAACAACTTTTTCCTATTTTTCTTCTCTGTGATCTTGCTTTAATATAGACGTCTTGGGCTGTATTCCTCATATTGCTTCAGTTTGTTTTAAAATCTCTGTGTTCTTTGATAAGCTGTTAAGGTGCCCACACTTATTTTCGTTTTTGTTTATATTCAGCATCTAATAAGATATATCTGAGATAGCACTCAAAGTATTAGTTGTTTAATGAGCACCTGCTATCATATGCCAGTCATCATTGTAGTTACTTCATTTACTATATAATAAATAATGGAGTGGCATAATTGTTTTCTCCTCCTACCCCTTCCAGTACTGGGAATTGAATCCAGGATCTTGTATGTGCTAAGCAATTAGTCAACCACTGAACTATGCCCTCAGCCCCTTTTCATTTCCTTCCTTCCTTCCTTCTTTCCTTCCTTCCTTCCTTCCTTCCTTTCTTTTTCTTTCTCTCTTTTTTTTCAAGTAAAGGTAAATTATATAGGTAACTAAGTCATGTGGCCAACAGAACAGTAACAAAGTCAAAAGTCTGCCTGACTTTAAATGTTTGGGTCTTCCTGTAGTGCTGCTGTCTCTCATATATTAGGTTAGTTCAAAGGAGTTGTTGTTTCAGACCATAAATTCTAAATCATGACTAAGTTTAACCATACTTTATTAATCAAAATAGGAATCATTACAGTCAGTGCATTTTTTACCAATGAGAAATGTTTTATTCCTGTAGTGTAAAAATTCATGCTTCAGGATATGAAGAATTCTTAGAAAGTATCTTTCTTCTCCTCCCCACCACCTCCCCAATACATTTAATGCGTTGTTTGTGGAGGTCAGTGGACAACTTGTAGGAGTTGATTCCCTCTTCTACCATATGGGTTCCAGGGAATGAACTCAGGTCATCAGGCTTGGTGACATGTACCTTTTATCCACGGAGCCAGCTTGCTGACCCCCATATAAAGCATTTTCTGTATTTTTCTGATTATAAAGCATTTTCTGTACTAGTATTTAATGAGACACCCACTTACCAAACCTTTTCACCTTCAATTTGCATTGAATGCTTGAACAACTTGCATGGTTCACATCGAGGCAACTTCTCGAGTCAAATAAGAGAATCAGCTTCATTGAGTGCTCTTTGCTGCTCATTGTCAACTTCCTGTAGCCAACCACTAAGCTCTTTATCTTGAAGGCTCTTGAGCCACCTCTGTACTATATGTTCATTATTGGTTACTGGGCCAAAGACCTATTGATGTTGCAAATTGCCTCAGCTGTTTTACCATCTATTTTGCCAAATAAGAAAACTCAAATTTTTGTTTCATGGAGCTGGAGAGATGGCTCAGCAGTTAAGAGCACTGGCTGCTCTTCTAGAGGTCCTGAGTTCAATTCCCAACAATCATATAGTGTCTCACAACCATCCATAATGAGATCTGGTGTCCTCTTCTGGCCTGCAGGCAGACACACAGGCAGAACACTGTATACGTAATAAATAAATCTTAAAAAAAAAAAAACTGTTTCACATCATTTCCATATTATAAAATAAATATAAACAGCAAGTAAAATATAAATTTATAAAATAAATAAATATAAACAGCAAGTAAAAAAAGGGCAAGGAACCATAAAGTGAAAAATGTGCATTAAAATGATATATATCATAACTACATATATTTAAGAGTGTATTTCATAATCAAATAACAAATTTCAACAGGGCAGAAAACAAAATTACTTTTGTACTAATCTATAATAAGAATTAATAGTGCTTTTTTCATTAGTTAATAAACTTTGAAGATATACTAGTCTAACTTTTCTCATAAGGTAGAGTTTTACTTGCGTTCTTCCAGGTAATTAAATAGCTTGAGATGTTATTTCTTTTATTTTATTGTCCTTTAGAGAAAATATTCTATAGAGTTAATCTCATCATAGTTACTAAACAGTAGTGGTTAGAAAAGGAAGATGAACTTCTGAATCAGCTATGAGTTCTGATATTTATTAGCTCTGACGCCCTTATGTAGAATAGTTCTTTCCTATTGGGACTGAAGAATTAATTGAGAAATCATGTTGAAAGGTACTGACCACAGAGAAAGTAGTTAATAAGTATTCTTCACCAATTCCCACAGGTCTGTCTTCATTGATACTTCAAGAACACACACTTTCCTTCTCTAAATGGTTTTGATATAAGAAGATGACAATAACTATGTTAGTGCAAAAGCTTCTGGCAGACCCACATGTTTTAGTAACTTTCTAGTTGATATGTCAGGTTATAAAGTTAAGCGAGTTAGCATATAGATAGATTTGATTTACTAATCAAACAAATGCATCCACTATGGTAAAACTCTCACTATTGATTTAATGCTTTTGGTGCTTCCTTTTCTGTTGAAATTTTAACTTCTCTTTGGAGAAACAATTACACTTAATTTCAGAAGAGTTTGACAGACTGTTTTATGTCTGAGGAGCAATCAGCATTGTTTGAGATAGTTAGTAGAGCTGATTTCATTACCATCCCACTGCTGCAACAGCAGGGTACAGAGAAACAGCCAGGGAAAACTGCTAATCACTTAGTCCTTATGATTGGCATAGGGTTAATTTTATTGGTGATCCCACTGAGTGAATCTACATTGGTTGACAAGTCTCCTCTGCAGACATTTTTGAGATGTAAAAAGACAATTTGAAACATTCCAAGAACCCAGAGGCAAAAGCAGATCTTAAAACTGCCTTCCCTCCCATCTCCCCACCCCTCTTCTGATTACCCAGGAAGGAGAAGTGTTATCTATGTAAGTCCCTGGTCCCACTTGGAGAGTATGAGTGTCATGTAGAGGCCTGTCTCCAGCATGCCAAGGGAGATAGAGGAGATGGAACTGAAGTGGGTAAGAGAACCAGAGTGTGTGCAACTGTGGAAGGCAAACAGCAGCAACAGCTGAGGAAGCCAAAGGTATGTGCTTAGGAAAAGCTACAATTCTGTTCTCCCTATCTTTCCTCCTTTCTCTCCCTCCTCCTCTCTTTCCTATTTATATTAATACAAGATTTATGCTTGTAAGGATAGGTTTTCGTGTATATGTATACATACATATATGTGCATTTATGTAGGGAAGCCAGAGGTCAGACTTGGGTGTTGTTCTGCAGGAGGAGTCATCCACGCGTTTTGAGACAGGATCTCACTAAACTTGGGGCTTGCAGATTAAGAATGCTACCTGAAACTACCCAAAGTCAGGTCCTCATTTTTTTACAGCAACCACTTTTATGACATCCTATCCCTGAATTAGTGTATCTTTGGTCTATATTTTGTGAGAATGTTTTTTTAAATTGCTATTTGAGTTGCTAATGTGGGTTGCCTAAAAATTTTATAATGAATTTTGGCTTGGGATTAAGACAGAAATTTCCAACACTTTCTAAAATGACCCTTAGCACGTACCTGTCAATTTGTAGTATATATTTAATGTGAAGAACTACTCTCGGCACTGATGATAATAAAATCAAAATATACGTCAAATCTGAGAAGCATTGAACACACTCTGCGTTTTGCAGTGTTAGATATTCAGCCAGGGTTTTTGTAAAAATAAACAAGTATGGGCTGAAGGTTTGGCTTAGAATGTAGAATGATTGTGCCCAGTATGAATGAAGTTTTGCACCCTATAGTACTGAGCATGGTGAATACACTTATAATTCTAGCACTTGGGAGGTAGAAACAGGAGAATCAGAGTTCAGTCATTCCCAGATATATAACAAGTTCAAGGCCAACTTGGGTTAGATGAGACCCTATCTCAAAAACCAAAACATCAAAAACTAAAACCACACCACAAGCACATCTATTTTGTTAGTATGCACATTAGCTTTTATCTTTAGTAAATGGTAAAATTACATATATTCTAAAGAGTTGTTCTTAAATAATTTTCATTATGATTTATTATCAATAAAAGTTTGATTTGTTTCATTGATTTTATTTACCTATATGTAAAAGTTTCTCAGGTGAAAAGGGGTCCCAAGTGGAGTAAGAAGCTCTACTGTATAGTATAAACATCTCTCTGAGTTTATTTTTAGACTTCTGAAACATTACTGTTAGCTGGGTATGGTGGAGCATAGCTGTAATCCACCACTAATGAAGCAGAGGGAGGAGAATCATGATAAGTTTGAGGACATCCTGCTCTACATAGCAATTCTGAGCCCTACCTCCACCTCTAACACCTGTTTTCCAACCTGCAAAAATCATTATATCAATGTTTGTGTCATATAGATGGTCACTTAACATCATCTTATTTCTGAAATGTTGTTTTTTTCCCTAATCCTTCTATATTTATGACTATTTAAAACAGTCGGGGGCTGATATAGGCAAACTCCTGTAATCCCAGCACTCTGGAGGTGTGAGAGTCTAAGGCCAGTCCTGGGTACATGGTGAGTTTAGATCAACTTGAGCTAGGTAGTGAGTCCCCATCTAAAAAACAGAAACTGCAACAAAACTCTAGTAAAACAATAAAAGCAAAACAGAATAACAACAATTGAAAAATGGGGAAAAATACCACTAACCGATCCTTGGACTACAGTTATTTATTGAATTGTAAGTCAACATTCCAGTGTCTTTTTTTTTTTAATATTTATTTATTATGTATACAATATTCTGTCTGTGTGTATGCCTGCTGGCCAGAAGAGGGCACCAGACCCCATTACAGATGGTTGTGAGCCACCATGTGGTTGCTGGGAATTGAACTCATGACCTTTGGAAGAGCAGGCAATGCTTTTAACCGCTGAGCCATCTCTCCAGCCCCCCAGTGTCTTTTGAAATATTACAATGAATTGCTTTTCAGAAAATGTAGGGAATTCATGTCCACACTGCTAGGAGCACATGTGAAATAACTTCTGAATCTCTTCTGTGTCTAGACTTGAGAAACGACAGGGTATGGCTCCTGGTCTCTGGGAAAATGGATCTAAGGACTTTTCTGGGTCTTGTGATGAGAGATCAGGAAGGGCAAGTCTTGGTTTAGTGACCAACATAAAGCAGCAACAGTGTGTTCAAGAACTGTTAGCCTACTAACCACTTAGACAGCTGGGCAGAGAACCCAAACTGATCTTGATGTCAGAAGGAAGTGACATCTCTATGAATCAGATGATTTTTTTTTTTTTTTTTTGGGTTTTCAAGACAGGGTTTCTCTGTGGCTTTGGAGCCTGTCCTGGAACTAGCTCTGTAGACCAGGCTGGTCTCGAACTCACAGAGATCTGCCTGCCTCTGCCTCCCGAGTGCTGGGATTAAAAGCGTGCGCCACCACCGCCCGGCGAATCAGATGATTTTAAAAATTTTTTATTTTATGTTCATGGGTGTTTTGTTTGAATGTATGTCTGTGTACCACTTGTGTGCCTAGTGCCTCAGAGGCCAGAAGAGAGTGTTGGACCCCATAGAACTAGATTACAGAAGGCTGTGAGCTGCCATGTGAGTACAGGGAATCAAACCTGGGTCCTCTGAAGAGTAGCAAGCACTACTACCTCTCTGGCCCCTAAATCAGGTGATTTTGGAGTTGAGTTTTATAGGTGAGTGCTTATTTATACCAAAGAGCCAATTTATCTTTTAAAAAATTTTTTTATACTTAAAACTTTTTATTTTATGTGTATGAGTGTTTCACACACATGTATGTCTCTCTGTGTACCATATGTGTAGCTGGTGCCTAAGAAGTTCAGAAGAGGACATCAGATCCCCTGAAACTGGAGTTAGAATAGTGAGCCATATGTGGGTGCTAGGAATTGAACCTGGGTCCTGTGGAAGACTGGCCAGTGCTCTTCATCATTAAGCCACCAGTTTAATTATCTTGTCATTACTGCCTATAGAAGTTGCCTTGAAACTGGTTTTTGTTTGTTTTTGTATTTAAAAATCTCAAATGTAACATAGGGCAGAAGCTGTTCTTTTTTGTTAAGATTTACTTTTATTTTAGTTATTCATATATATAAAGTGTGTGTGTGTGCGTGAGTGTGTGTGTGAGGGTATGATCACATGAGTCCATTGACCTAGGATGCCAGAGGCCCTAGGATTCCTTGGAACTGGAATTATAGGCAGTTGTGGGCTATCATGTGGATACTGGGAATTGACCTCCAGTTCTCTGAAAGAACAGCATGTTCTTAACCACTGAGCCACCCCTCCAGCCCAAAAGCTCTTCTTTAATGTAGTTTGTGGGCTGATTTGATGCTGAAGCCATCCTTGAATCTCCCTTCCTCTCCCTTTCCTTTCCTTCCCTCCCTCTCTTTTTCTCTTTCTTCTTTCATTCTTTCTTACAGGGTCTCCCTGTGAGGCCTTGACTGGCCTGGAACTTGATATTTAGGCCAGGATGCCCTTGAACTTAGAGAGATCTACCTGCTCTTACACGCTGATCCCTGGGGTTAAGGGTGTGCACCACTCCTGGAAAGCTGTGTTCCTGATATGGTGCTTAAACCCCTTCATTATAGTTTGCTATTCTTTTCCTCTCCTCTCATTTATTATAAAGCAAAAGACTAACCTAGTGCCAGCTGTGCCACCATATTTCTCTTCTGGGAAAGATTTAATCTAGGCTAAATTGTAGTCGGGCTTTTCTTAGGGCTGCCAGCTCACAAAAAGTGACACAGAGACTTACACTCATTAATGAAAGCTTGACCTTGACTTAGGCTTGTTTCTAAGTAGCTCTTATAACTTAAATTAATCCATTTCTGTTAATTTACTTTCTGCCTCATGGCTTTATTATCTTATCTCCATACTGCCCATCCTGCCTGCTCTGTGTCTTCTGGCATCTCTGCCTTCTTTTTCCCAGCATTCTCTCTGCCTGGAAATTTTGCCTAGCTATTTATTTATTTATTTATTCAACTTTTTACTAAAACAATCAGAGTGACACATCTTCGCAGTGTACAAAAAGATTATTCCACAGCACAAGTCAACTGTGTTTTAAATCTTGCCATGAATTAATTAATCCGTCTATCCTTTTCTCTATCACAGGACAAAGACCACAGTGAAGGCCGACTGCTCAGTCTCTTGGAACAGTCTGAGCACAAGACCATAGGTGAAGACTCTAAGACCAATTTTATGGGTTTCTGTCTAGGCCTTTCAGTGAAGATAGAAACTCCTAACATTCAGCTGATTGTTGGGGATTGTGAGTGAATCCTTTTGGAGCCAATGAGCCAGCCTTGGAAATTTAATCTAGGCTCTCTCATCCCAAGGAAGGATGAAGAGATATCCTGTGTTTCCCGACATGGGTTTAATAGAATCCTTTATAACACCTAATCCTTTATAACACCTAGAGTTAGGACTCCCTGTTAAACTGGGGAGTGGTTCCAAATTGCCATGCCAGAAAATAGATCTTCTAAAAGAATAGTCATGAAAAACCACACATGCAGACATCACTGCCTCTTCTGAATGTTTGTAAACCATTTATACATTACCTTTAGCTTAGTCTCCCAACTTAACTCCTAAGAAATTGTAGGAAGTAATTCCTCTTTGTGTCTTCAGTATTTAGGGAGCATTAGAGTAGATTTATCAGGAGCATTAGGAATTCTAACTTTAGAGATTACAAAGATTATATCTAGTAAAGCACTATATATGTATTCCTTGGCATTAGTAGACTTTTGCTGGATGTTAGATGCTGGAATATTGCTACTATTGTTCCTTTTAGTTGCTATTATTAAATTTTACCAAATTGAACAGTAAATTTTTGCTCAATGTCTAGTTATAATAGTTTATTACTACCAAGCAAATCTGTTTTGCTTTGTGATGACTGTAAAAAGAGCCTGTCTTGCTAGGCAGTGGTGATGCACATCTTTAATCCCAGCACTCTGGGAGGCAGAAGCAGGTGGATCTGAGTTCGAGGCCAGCCTGGCCTACAAGAGCTAGTTCTAGGACAGTTCCAAAATTACAGAGAGAAAAAAAAAGCCTGTCTTACATCTTGCTTTTAGATCACCAGGTTGTGAATCTCTCAGGTGGCAGATTTCCCCTTGTTACCCTTATTGCCTGAGTGTAGGTCTGAAATAGGTCTATTCAGAAATGATTCATTCCGAAGTGTTTACTGCAGCTGAGCCTGTTGGATGCTAATGCTCACATTCCATTGGTCAAAGGGTTGGAGATCTGAACTACTTGAATAGGCCTGATGAAAAGCAGCAGGCAGTGAGAGGCTATGACTGCTAATGTTAGTACTTTTATCTCTCCAGGTGTAGAGAAAAAAAACAAGTCTTCAGAAGCAAGAACCTTCAAGTAAGTTAGAGTATGCGCTGAATTCTGTCAACAGCTCTGGCTAGTGTGAGCCTGATGCTAGATTCTCTGTGTAGATTGATAATTAAAATGCTAAAATAGAAATCACTGTAGAACTAACACAATTATTTAACTTGGTGATCCTGTTATATCTGGGTTAAGAATTGGTTGGATAGCTGTATTGATGTTAAAGTAAGTAGGGTTATGTGTTACTCCTTTTCTTCTTCCTTTTTTTTTTTTTTTAAACAGGGTTTCTCTGTGTAACAATAGTCTTAGCTGTCCTGGAACTCCTTCTATAGACCAGGCTGGCCTCAAACTCACAGAGATCCACCTGCCTCTAACTCCCAAGTGCTGGAATTAAAGGTGTGAACCACTGCCCGGCCTTTCTTCTTTTCAGTTCCCATCCAAACCTGAATTCTAGCAGATTTAGGAATTTTGATCTGACTCCACGGTTTCTCCACGTCTCCATGGCTTTAGGTTATGTGAATTACCCAGTATCTTCATCTGTGAAAGCAGAATGATACAACTTACATGGCTAGAATATTACACAAGTTAGTATACTAATGTAATTTAAAGGCTCCACTAGAGTGCGTAGTTCATACTTGTTGCTTACCAGCTTCATATTGAACTTGAAACCAGGCATAGTGGGACAAAGACAGAGGCAGACTGATTTCTGAGTTCATGGCCAACTGGGTCTACATAGGTTTTTTTTTTTTTTTTTTTTTTTTTTTTTAGTTTGTTTGTTTTGTTTTGTTTTCAATAAAGGCTGGGAGCTAGAGAGATGGCTCAGTGCTTAAGAGCACTGGCTGCTCTTTCAGAGGACCCAGGTTCAATTCCTAGCATCTGCATGGTGGCTCACAACCACCTGTAATTCCAATCCCAGGAGATCCAGCACCCTTCTCTGTCCTTGAAGGACACTAGGCATACATGTGGTATACAAACTTAAATGCAGACACCTTTGCACATAAAACAAAGAAAAATTTTAAAGAGTTGGACATATACACATGTAATATGTCTTACTTGAGTTTTTCTTTCTGTCTAGGATACCTTCATCAGAGGTGGAAGAGGCTAGCTGCAGCAGAGAGATGCAGAGTTCCCTCTCACAGCTCAACTTAAATGAGTCTCCCATCAAGTCTTTTGTTCCTGTTTCAGAAGCCACAAATTGCTTAGTGGACTTTAAAGACCAGTTTACTTTTCGGTCACGGACCAAATCAGGCAGAGGAAGGAGAAGAAAATCTTGAATTTCTTGGGACTGGAGGTTGACCGGAATTATTATTGTTGGGTTGGTCATGTTCATTAATTATAGTAGTTCCTAGTTTGTTGTGAGAGTTTTGACCCTGTTGTTTTTACCATCAGCACCCACTTAGCATCCTGATTTTTATGTTTTATAAGATATATTGAGACAATTGTGAATAGTATTGTTTTACAGCATTCTGTTTGAATTTACTTATAGTTAAAATTTAAATATATTTATATTTGTATGAAATCTTACTTCGATATGTGGAGATTTTTATATTTTTGTCGTGAGCTTTGGAGTGGGGATTTTTTGTTTTGTTTTTCTTTTTCAAGACAGGATTTCTTGTATAGCTTTGGAGCCTGTCCTCTGTAGACCAGGCTGGCCTCAAACTCAAAGAGATCTGCCTGCCTCTACCTCTTAGTGCTGAGGTTAAAGGTGTGAGCCACCGTCGCCTGGCTTCCTCTGGAATTTGTAAGTGAACACTGTTGTGTTAGTCCGTTCCTATGCAGTTTTTTCAAAGTGGATTTACTGGTGGGTGTACCAGGCACAATTATCTGTTTAAATCATTTTTTTTTTCCTTTTGCTGCTACAGGTCATGTGGCAGCAGTAAATTGGGATTCAGTGGAAATACCAGAGCAGTCCCCAGTCTCTACAGTGTTGCCTGAGCCCTTCCAGTGCAGAGTAGAGATGTGGTTTATCCTTAGTGTCCAGGTAGACCCAAAGTGAGAGACTCAAATAGCAGAAGTAACTAACCAAAGGAGACAGTCAAAAGAACCAGCTTTGGCTCTAGCTGATGAACAGTCTAGTGAAAGAAACTCTTAAGTGGGTGTTAACAGTACAGGATTTTTTTTTAAGACAAGGTTTCTCTGTAGCCTTGGCTGACCTGGAACTCACTCTGTAGACCAGGTTGGCCTTGAACTCACAGAGATCCTCCTGCCTTTGCCTCCTGAGTGTTGGGACTAAAGGTGTGTGCCACCACTGCCCAGCAGTACAGGATCTCAGACCAGGGTAAACTAATACACAACTCAGGTGCCTAACTTCTGATTTATCATATCTAAAGCTGTCTTTGATTTTAAGATGAAAGTGAGATATATATCACACTGGGGCATTCATACACAGCTGTATTGGAAGACTTAGTACAGACATTAGGGCACTATCTCATACTGTTTGCACACAAATGCTTTGAGTTATAGTCAAGATGGAAAACACCAATTCCCACCACAGACAATGTCTTGCTCTTGGATGGTGCCAACACTATGACCAGCATCACATATATCTCTTATTTTTTGTTCAGTCGCCACAGTCCAGACAGTATATGTACTGTCATTTGATCCTCATAGAAACTTGTTATAACCAACTCTGAAATGAGGAACCAGATGGAGAGAAACAAGTTAAAAGACTGCACCCACGGCTGTGAGACTAGTAATGGGTTCTTCATTTCTAGAGAAAAACCTTGTGCTTTTGACATAAGTGCTAACAGATTTCTTGTTTTTCCATATACAGCCAATCAGTTTAACCCTCACTTACAGCTCTCATTAAATAGTCACTTAGAAGGTAGCTCTCTATAAATGGTATAGTTTGTATTTCTATATATGAGGTTGAAGGAAAGTGCTTCTAGAATGAGGTTATCTTAAAACTGAGCAGACTCTACAGAATGGGGGCCATTGGCTAAGGATAAGGATTAGCTAGACCTTTCACACTCAGTTCCATGCTCTCCCCCAACTAAACAGAGCTAAGGGTCTGGAGCCTCAGATTCAGCACGGTGTTGTGTTGTAGATGACGGTCAGTTTGCTTTCCCTAACGTCATTCTTGACCATCTTTCATAGCCTTTATGTCTGACTGGTATCCAGTAAACTGCAGGTAGGGCTGTGTCTGCCGTGTGTATAGGTCTAATCACAACAAACCTGCCGCAGGAGCCACCTCTGTTCATCTGTGTCCAGCAGATAATAGTGTGACTGCTAATGTAGCAGCCTTCAGTTTTAATGCGCTCGCCAGTTTGCCTGAGTTGTAATAGGCACTTAGAAGCTGTGGTTGTTAGACATTGTGTCTGACTCCTGCTTTCTCTGCACGGGCATACTAATTACTCAAGGAGTGTATGTATCTCTACCCTGGTGGTTCTTCACCTTCCTAATGCTGCAAGCCTTTAATAGAGTTCCTCATGTGGTGACCCCAACCATAAGATAATTTTTGTTACTGCTTCATAACTAATTTTGCTACTGTTAGGAATTATAATGTGTTTTCTGATGGTCTTAGGCAACCCCAGTGAAAAGGTTGTTCAACCTGCAAAGGGGTCATGACCCACAGGTTGAGAACCATTCCTCTAACCTCTCTCTTCCTTCAAAGCTGAAAGCACAAGGTTAAGTCGTTGTCCTAAGTCTTCCGTCATCTTGTGTCATCTTGTATCCAGCAACAGCAAAGTTACTGAAGACAGCACCTTCCTCTCAAACAATCATGGCATCTATGATACAGAAGCTACACCCCAAAGCAGACCTTCTGGTGGATTTCAGACTGGCCTCCTTGGATGACAGAACAACTTACCAGTCCACCTTGCAGAATCAGAACTGAGAGTGGTGGGTGGAAGCACACCTTCATCAAGACTGCTAAATTATGCATATCTCTTGACTGTTCCAATTCTTTCACTGTTTGAAGACAGAACTCTTCTAAGTACCCTAAAGAGAATCCTGGAGGACACTGGGCCCTTTATCTGTCCCTCTTCTAAATGCACACTACTTTTCATCCCACCTATGGGCATCTTCATGAGGCTCTGAGAACTGTCTGTCTGTCTGACCACTGGCTGTATGCATGCATTCTTTGTGAAAGGACTTCTTTAACTTGCCCTGCTCACTCCTGCAGAGTCATGATGGCCCTTCCTCTTCGGTTCCCACATCGCTGCTTACATGTTTACTTGCTACATTTTGAAAAGTTGCCATTTGCAACCACATATTTCCAGGCATGTCTCTGCTTCTTTCCAAGGAACTTAACACTTCAAAACTTAGTGTTCATAAAATAAACAGAGCTCCTAGCATTGCAGAGAGAATGTTTTGGAGTCCTTAACCCAACTGGAGCCTAACTTCCTGTGTTCATTTTGCTTGTTTGTGCCATGGTCCTGCTCACCCTGGGCTCATCTTAGGGCAGACTTGTGGGGAAGTGCACGTTCCTGAATTAGCCTATGTCTGTTAAGTGGTGGCTGAAGAAGGTGGAGCTTGGGGAGTTTATAAAAGTCATCCCCGAGTTTCACTTTTGAGTTCAGTCCAGGGTCACCGCTGTCCTCATTTCAGAGAAAAGCTGAGACGGAGGAAAGTGATCAACTTTCAAATCTCCCAGGTAAATATATCCTCTAATTCCTGCATGCCTCATCCCAAGCCCTCCTCCTTGGCTTATCCTCTAGCTAATGGAGGCTAGCAAGATTATGACACTAGTCCTCAATGGTGATGGCAGTACCAGTCTCAGGAGGGGTCTCTAGAATGTTTTTCAAAAGGAGCACTCACTCCATGTCGCTGATTTAGTTCAAACACGGGCTGACTTTGGGCCAGTTTCTGGTGATGGAGAAATGAAGACATGTCTCTCACTCTAGGAAGAGACAGGCCTGAATGCATTAAATTCTGTGGCTCCTTGGAGGGAGCGTCACAGTCTGCCACTTGCTGAGTAAATGCTGCGTGTGTGAGCAGGCGAGTAAGAGAATGATTATGCTGCCTGGGCCTGGACATTTTATCTTTGAACAGGCTCTTTGAATGTGTCCTCTTCCGGTAGATTTGGAAACTAAGTGCTGGCATATGTAATTTAGTTTACCAAATTACTGCTGCCTTTTGAGACAGGGTCCAACTGTGTGGCCCAGGTTGCCCTCAAACTCATGACACTCCTGCCTTAGCCAACCAAAACGAAGTACTGGGTTTACAGGCGTGAGCCCCAGGCCTAAATTTGCCCAACTCTGTCCTGGCATCAAAGATGCAGAGGTGACTCAGACATCACAAGGTTCTGAGGCTAGCCCTCCAGACTGAGGAGGAGTGAAGACTGAAAAGTAGAAGACCAGGAATCAGTGAGAAGCAGGAAGAGGAAAGCTAGGGTCAGGGCATGAGGGTCCTGCAGTCCACCACAGAGTTCTGCTCTGTCTGCAGGGAGCCATGATAGTGTAAGTGGGACGAGATTCACTCTGAGGAAGCAGAGCTATCACTCAGGATTGTTGGAACAGTCAGGTGGTGGTGGGGACAGGAAGGAGAGGAGCCCCAGTTAGGTCATAAGTGACTGCCCCCTTCCAAATTCTCCTCCTGATGTGTCTAGTCAAGGTGGGAAGCAGATGTGTGGGGAGATGAGTCTGCCTTTACTGAGCTCGAGGACCTCTCTCCAGTGGGAGAGTGAAGTCTCACAGACCCTGCTGTTAGCAGGTGACCTAGGTCAGTGGCTGGTTGGGAGCCCTGACACAGGTTTTAGTGGTGAGGAAGGGAGTGTAGAGAAAGGCACAACTGCCAGGCGGTGGTGGCGCACGCCTTTAATCCCAGCACTCGGGAGGCAGAGGCAGGCGCGGATCTCTGTGAGTTCGAGGCCAGCCTGTTCTACAAGAGCTAGTTCCAGGACAGGAACCAAAAGCTACGGAGAAACCCTGTCTTGAAAATCCAAAAAAAAAAAAAGAGAGAGAGAGAGAGGAAGGCACAACCCAAAGCCCAGAAACCCCCCTACCTCTCTAAAGGCAGAGGAGAGGAGTTAGTGATGACGACCACTGTCTGCAGGAGCCAAGGCAGGAAAGAACACAGGAACAGAGGGACTCAAGAGGCTTATGGTTGGGCAGAAGGGGAGAGAAAATGAAGGGATTGGAGAAGATGCTTTGTTTTTGCAATGAAGGGAAAGTGCCCAGTGGACTATTGTGCCGTCTTGACCTATCTACTGGATTGTCCTCCTTAACATCTGAATGGCATCAGAGCTACTGTAGACTTCCCTAGGACTAGCTGCAACAGTAGTACCATAGCAGCAGTGCTTAGCTAAGCTGAACACCTGGCATTCTGTAGACTCTTAGACCATGACAAGATTTACTAGCTCCTGTCATTATTAATTTTTTTTCGTTTTACACCAACACCAGTTCCCCCTCCCTCCCCTTCTCCCACCCTCCTACCTTCTCACCCCCTCCCATCCACTCCTTAGAGGGTGTAAGGCCTCCCTTGGGGAGTCAACAAAGTCTGACACACCAAGTTGAGGCAGGGCCAGCAACCCCCCCCCCCGCATCAAGGCTGAGCAAGGCATCCCTCTATAGGGAATGGGCTCCTAAAAGCCAGTTCATGCACCCAGAATAAGTCCTGGTCCCACTGCCAGGGACCCCACAAATAGATCAAGCCACACAGCTGTCACCCGCATTCAGAGGGCCTAGTTTGGTCCCATTCAGGTTTCCCAGCTGTCAGTCTAGAGTCTGTGAGCCCCCCACTAGCTCAGGTTTGCTGTCTCTGTGGTTTTCCCCATCATGATCTTGACCTCCCTTGCTCAGATGATCCTCTTCCCTCTCTTCAGCTGAACTTCAGGAGCTCAGCCCAGTACTTGGCTTTGGATCACTGAATCTGCTTCCAACAGTTACTGAGTATAGATTCTATGATGACAGTTAGGATAGTCACTGACCTGATTACAGGGGCAGGCCAGTTCAGGCATCCTCTCTCGCAACAGCTAGGAGTCCTAGATGGGGTCATCTTTGTAGATTTGAGGACTCTTAAGAGGAACAACATGCATAGAAGACACCAAGAAGAGGAAATAGTTAAGATCTGGGTAAGCTGGGAGTGGATGGATAGAAGGGAGGGGATATGGATGGGAACATGAGGGATTGAGATGGCCAAGTTGGGGGAGGGATGGAGAGGGAGAACAATGAAAGAGATATCTCAATGGAGGCAGCCATTATTGGGTTAGGGAGAAACCTGGTGCTCCTAACATTCTTTTTTCTAATTTTTAAAACAATCTTATTTTATATACCAATCCCAGTTTACTCTTCCTTCTGCCCTACGCTCCCCCCACATTCACCCCACCCCACCTCCCTTCCACGCCTCAGAGAGGGTGAGACCTCCCTTGGGGAGTCAACAAAGTCTGTCATGTTTCTTTAGGCAGGACCAAGACCCTCCCCTCTGTATCTGGGCTGAGCAAGGTATCCCTCCATAGGGAATGGGCTCCAAAGAGCCGGTTCATGCACTAGGGATAGATACTGGTTCCACTGCTAGTGATCCTACAAACTGCCCAAGCCACCCACATTGAGAGGACCTAGTTCTGTTTTTTTTTTTTTTTTTTTTTTTTTTTTTTTTTTTTTTTTTTTTTTTTTTTTTTTTTTTTTTTTTTTTGGTTTTTTNTTTGTGTGTGTGTGTGTGTGTGTGTGTGTTTGTTTGTTTTTTGTTTTTTTGAGACAGGATTTCTCTGCAGCTTTGGATCCTGTCCTGGAATTAGCTCTTGTAGGCCAGGCCAGCCTCAAATTCACAGAGATCCACCTGCCTCTGCCTTCCAAATGCTGAGATTAAATGTGTGCACCACTGCTGCCTGGCCCCTAGTTCTGTCTTATGCAGGTTCCCCAACTGTCAGTCTGGAGTTAGTGAGCTCCCACTAGCTCAGGTCAGCTGTTTCTGTGGGTATCCCCATTATGGTCTTGGCCCCTTTGCTTATATTATTACTCCTCCCTCTCTATGACTGGACCTCAGGAGTTTGGCCCAGTGTTTAGGTGTGGATCTCCGCATCTGCTTCCATCAGTTGCTGGATGAGGGTTCTAAGATGTCAATTAAGGGAGTCATCAATCTGACTAATGGCAGTTAAAGCACCCTCTCCACTGTTGTTTAGATTCTTAGCTAGAGTCACCCTTGTGGATTCCTGGGGATTTCCCTGGTTTCCCTCTTTCCTTTCTCTACTCCTGTCGTTCTCTGTAATGTTTTCATGTGTTTGAGAGAGAACCGAGGATAATTGAGTTTCAGTTCAGATTATGCTAGAGATGTAAACTAGATCTTTTTGTTCTCTTTTGTCCCATGTAGAACTTCTGGCATATTGATCCTCATTTCACAGATGAGGAAAATGGGGCCTCAAGTTTGGGAGGCCTGATGCAGCCATCTTATGGAGAGCTGGGGTCCTGACTCCAAGCACAGGCTTCTCCATTCTGCTTCACTGTCCTGTCCAAAACCCAGCCATGAGTCAAGGTTTTTGTTGCACACTGAATTTTTACAAAGTATCTCCTAGGTCTTTTGCTGTTTGGTGCAACAGCAGCCATATGAGGGTAGGCACCTTCTCCTGCAAAACAGCCGAAGTGTAAAGTCACCAATGACTGGTCCAAGCTCACGCCATTAGTACATCCCTTTTCTGAAGAACAGATTCAATTTCTAAAGCACAGACGCCTTTGCACACTCCCTGACTCATATTTTTCTTCCTCGGGGTGACTCTTAACTGCTTGTCCTGAAAGCCAGCCTGCTTGGTTTTTGGTCCCTGCTTACTTTACAGTTTGTCACCTCTCTCAGACCCCTAACCTCCCAGTCACAGCAGCACATTTATGTGTCCTGTCTTTTGCTTGTGCCAATTCTACTGTGATGCTGGGTACGGCTGTGAGATCCCTGAGGGCAGGGCCTGAATCTGCGTTACCAGCATCGTTCATGGGGGGTGTTGGGAAAAAGAGGATCTGCGTGAATGAACATCCGAACTTGGAGTCAGCTTTCCCATGCTCTCTTGTTACACATGCTTCTGGAAAACAACTGCTTCCTGGTGGATTGCTAAAGGATCCTCACTGTCACAAGTTCTCAATTCTGTTTGCAACTCCCTTCTTGGTCCCCTTTGGAAGGAAAGAAGTTGCAGGTCTGGGTTATTGCCTCTTGGAGCCTATAGAGTAAATGTTCTTGAATCTAGCTATCCCTTTTTCCTTACAGGTAGTCAATATCCATTGCAGAAACATGAACAACACAAGGCCTGCTGGTTTGCAACCTGGAGAAAGTGCCTCAAGATCCCCACAAGGTGGCATGCCAAAGCCCTCAGATTGCTTAGAAACGGTAAGCCTAACACTGGGTTCCAATTTTGCTCTTATTTAAGACTATCACAGATAGGGTGACTAGAGGTATGGGTGGCTGGGTTCACACACTCGTGGCCTTTGCCCTTTGCTGAACTGCTAATCTCCGATCTCTTTTCTTTGAGACTCCAATAACTGCAAGGGATAGATTGGTTCTGGGGGGTGGGGCTTAGAGATGAAAAATGACTCATTTAAGACATGAGAGTTTGAAGCTGGGTGGTGGTGGTGCATAGCTCTAATCCCAGCACTTGGGTTTGAGGCCAGCCTGATCTACCGAGAGAGTTCCAGGAGAGACTTCAAAGCTACAGAGAAACCCTGTCTTGAAAAACAAAACAAAACAAAACAAAAAAAGAGTGTGGATTAACTTTAACCTTTTGCCAGCTTGCCACATAGATGTTGTACCGGCCCTATGAGGTCAGACATATCCAGAATGGGCCTTCCACATCTTCTTTAAAAAGAAAGTAAAATAAAGGGTTTTCTTGTAAAAGTAATTACACTTTCACTACCAATTACACTTTTACAGACTTATCCACTACAAAAATGGAAGAAGAAGAAAGAAAAAAGAACCTGATAGAATTGAAACTTTCAGAAATTAGCCTTATATCTCTATTCATGATTCATGTATCCTTTGGCTGCATTCCATTCTTTCTTACCATCTGATATTATCATTTCTTAGCCCCCTTTCTAAATGTTATACTATATTCACATTTACACACACACACACACACACACACACACACACACACACACACGATAGGCTAGGAGCTGAGTCCTTGAGTCCCCTTCTCTCCAGTCTCTCTCTGGCAGTTCCCTCAACTGTCACTGCAGTCAGGCACCAGAGGTGACAAAGTGCTGAACTGGTTTGGTTTCGAACTGGTTTGGTTTCCTTAGAACTCTCTCCCCCCCCTTCCCTCCCTCTCTCTCCCTCCCGCTCTCTCCTTCCCTCTCTCTTCCCCCATCTCTCCTTTATGTTTCTTTTCTTCTCTCCTCTTGATTGTGTCTTGTTTTCTCTTGCTGTATAAGGGTTGGGTCCACTGTGTGCTAGTTGAATGCTTTGCCCAGCCTTTCCCTTCTTGACTAAGATTCTGAAGAAGTCTTCACCTACCACACCCTGGAGCAGAAAATGCTTATGTAAACCATTTCATAACTCTTGGTCTCCATTTCCTCATCAGAAAGCAGAGGAAAGTAACTTGAATTATTTGAATGTTCTCCTCAAATTAAAAAAAAAAAGCCTCATGGAGACAGAGAAACTCATAGAGGCAATGCCCATGAACATGGTCTTGGACCATTCCTGGTGTGTGGTTCCTGTAGTTTCCTGTCTTGTTCTGACATATGCTTACTAGGTGTGTTATCCAACTGTGGTGGCATTACTGTCACTAAATTTCACACATGCACACACCCCTTTTCCTTTGTGCAACCTGTGCCTCAGGCCCTGCTGTCAACATTTCTCTATGTCCTGCCCATAGCTGGGCCCCAGAAATGAGCAACGACTACTGTCCCAGGGCTTGTTCTCAGGTCATCTTCATGTCCCTTCTCACCTCCTTCCCTTTCCTCCTGAGGCCTCTGCACAGGTCGCCCATCTGCCGTGTTGGTTTTATTGTATGCACCTGCAGTTTAACGAATTCCCTATGGCTTTGTGGGGCTTCACAGGAATAACAAATGCTCTGTTGCCAGGGACCCCACTCAATACCCCCAGCCTAACTTCAGACTCCCTTTCCATAGCTGGGGGGCGATAATCACATGTCATCAGTGTCTGGCTACATCTTTGAGTCCCTTGCCAGGCCTTTGCAGAAGTCTCTTTTTGTTGCCTGTGGATGTAGAGTCAGGCCCTCTAGCGTGATTGTGTCCTATGGGCTGAAGAAAGAACCCTTACCTCACTGCGCATGTGTGTCACATACTGTCCTGGCATTGATTTCTGTCCTCACAGTGTCCTTGCTATCTTCGCACTATTACTGTCTCCACCTGCTAGAGGAGGTCACCCACTGGAACAGGTGATGGATGTGATGGAGCCAAACTTGACGGGTACAGCAGGCTCATTAGAACAGCCAGCATGGAGACCATCTTGGGCTTCACACACACTCCAGTACCTTTTTCTCCTTACTCTGCTGAATGAGGTCTCCCCCTTCAGCCCCAGTGCGGGCAGAAAAGAGAGGTTCTGGTGGCATCTGGATAGTGTACACCCTGCTGGAGTCTACTAGAGAAGCCCTTCTGTCTTTGTGCCTGTACTCATCATGTTGGTTTTTTTTTTTTTTTTTCAGGGGAAGTGCTAGGTTCTTACCAAGCCTCCCATTGATAGGAGGACATCTTTGTAGTCAAATCAACCTGGTTTCACAATCCACCTTTCCCCTTCAGAGCTCCTTGGGCTGGGCAGATGGCTCACTCTCTCTGAGCCTCGGCTTCCTCATTTATAACACAGAAACAGCCACTCCTGGTCTCTGGAAGCATCTGTTCCCATGTAAACATAACAGGGTGTCTAGGACTCCTGTTAGCATGATTTGCCTCCTTGGGGAGCTACCCCTGACTCCTCATAGAGAGGCTGGCATTGTGTCCTCTTCACCTCCCTTTTCACCCCTGCTCTCTTCCTAATGCTGCGACCTTCTGACACAGTGCCTCATGTCGTGGTGACACCCAGCCGTAAAATTATTGTGGTTACTACTTCATAACTATAATTTTGATATTGTTGTGGATATAATACAAACATCTGTGTTTTCTAACGGTCTTAGGCAACCCCTTTGAGAAGGTTGTCGACTCCCAAAGGGGTCACGACCCGCAGGTTAAGAACCACTGCCTTAGGGGGACTTTGTTCTCCAGGTGCCTAAGTAGCTTCTCAGATTTGTGTCCAGTTGGGGGAATGGGTCTTCAGAATAGAATTCCTGTGCCACAGGAGATGGGGCTTGGGGGGGGGGGGTGTCTAATACAGGTGGAGCTACCGAACTGTGTCTCTCCAACAAATACCCTAGGCTTCTTTGGTGGATGGACAAGAGGGTCATCCAAGGGAAGTTTCTTTACAGAGCTGAGATCTGTGGTCTCCCTATTTCTTGAGCTTCTATTAGAGTGAGAGCCTGGGATATCACATCCATTACCTCTCATCCTCTCAGCTTTCCCATCAAGCTTGATCCACAACAGGCCCACGACCCCTAACCCATCTCCGTGGAGATGCTAGGACATCAGATGGCTGAGTCTCTTCCGTCATTTAGGTCACCACTTGTAAAGCCTTCTTCACTCCTATCTTAAGATGTGACTTCTCCCCTCGTCACACATTTCTGATCCTGTCTCTCCGTTTTCAGTAGCCGTTCAGTACCAGAATTATATTGTGTGTTGACTCTGTCTTCCACAAGGGAATCAATTGGCAGAGCTCAGAGGGAGCCGGACTCGGTTAGCTGCGTGGTGGGCAGTTTGGAATGGTGCTAGGTGTTTGTCAGGGCTTGGTTGATGTGCTGAGAATAACCAACTGAAGGGAAGGCCACCTCCTGCTCTGTGGCCTTTGCATATCCCTGCAGTGGGCTTCTTCAGGCTCCGGAGTCTGTGAGAGGACTGGGGGAGGCAGGCTCTAGCGGCAAAGTTTGTTCATCCGTCTGCTCACTCATTGATAGCTTACAAAGAGACAGTTAGTTACAGCAGCAGGAGAGAGGTTTACCAAACCTTCTGTTTCAAAAGCTAGGTGGTCAGGGGAGAGGATGTAGGAGCTGAGAGGAAGCCCAGGATGTGGAACACAAAAGAGGGAGGTGGCTTCTCTTCCTAGGAACCTTCCGAGGATGCAGAAGCTTGGGGTAGGCTTTGAACAGCAAGACAGCCAAGGCACACACGGAGGGGAACCAGAAGACCAGTGAGGCTCAGGGAGAATAGAGCAGGATGCTAGCCAGCCCCTGGAAACGGAGGGCCTAAGAAGGCAGGGGGTGAGCCGGGCAAGACAGTCCCATGTCCCAGCTGAAGTTGGGTCCCTCCCCAATGTTGGCTTGCTTCTTCCTAGGTACAGGAATGCTTGAACCAATTCAAAGTGACAAAGACACAGTTGCAGCAGATCCAAGCCAATCTTCTGTGCTCCATGGAACAGGCCCTGAAGAGACAGGACAGTTCCGCCAATTCTGTCCGGATGTCGCCCACATACATAGGGTCCATGCCAAATGGCACTGGTGGGTAGCACATACTAGGATGGGTGGCCAGGCATGGAGAATGTGTTCTGGTCTGGAGGAAGGGGTAGTTCCTTTTCTCTGTCCACCATCCTTTTACTGAACTTCTCAGACTTTGGAAGCCTTCCTGGGAGGCAGGCAGCTTTGGTGTGGCCATGTCTTTCTATGACCTGTTTGCCCTCTAGAGCAGGGAGACTTCCTGGTATTGGAGCTGGGGACTAAAGGAGCCTCGCTGCGTGTGTTGTGGGTGACACTGACAGACACCAAAGAACAGCTTGTAGAACCCAAGAGCCAGGAGTTCGTGATCCCTCAAGAGGTGATGCTAGGTACTGGCAAGCAGGTGAGCAGTCTCAATGCATCCTTGGGGCTTGAGACGCGGTGGGGTGGCCGGGGCTCAGGTGCTCAGAGTTAAGGGGTCACCTTGTTCCCGCAGCTCTTCGACTTTGCTGCCCACTGCCTGTCTGAATTCCTGGATGCACACACCTTGAAGAGTCAGAATCTGAAGCTTGGGTTCAATTTCCCTTTTCCTTGTCACCAGACGGGCTTGGACAGGGTGAGGTGGGGGCACGTCGGGGCCAGTGAGTGGAAAGAGAATGCAGCTCTTGTGACAGCCACAAGGGAAAAAAATAACCCTGTTTTCTGCCCCCAGAGCACCCTCATTTCCTGGACAAAAGGCTTTAGGTGCTGTGGTGTGGAAGGCCAGGATGTGGTCCAGCTGCTAAGAGAGGCCATTCAGAGGCAGAAGGTGAGTGAAGGTCAGGGTGACAGAGAGCTCCCCTTGCTGCTCTGGGCTTGGCATCTGTAGGTGATGCCTGTGTTTCTGGAAGATCTGGCTTTCCTCTCCTATGCATGGCCTTTATCTAGTTTGACCTTGGGGTTCATGTTGCTCCCATAGCAATCAATGAGACAGAGGCTAAGAAAGACTCAAATAAAATGATCGTGCCCTGGGGGAGGGGTCTGAGAGAAAAACAGGACATGGGGAAAAAATCCTATGACCCAGCCTTCAAGATCCTCACCTTCTAGAAGGGAAAGTATTCTAATAAAAGATTGCCTGTGTTCAGAAGACTCTAGTAGCATCAGAGGGTGCAGGCAAGGAACAGCTAATCTTATCTGTTATGTATGAGCCGAGGCTTGGGACACAGAGCAAATGTAAGAAAAACATGTAATGTCCAAATCCCAGTGCTCTAGAAGGGCAGGTCCTTTCAGACTAACCCCGAGGTTCTGATTAGAAGTCAGGTTAGAAGGTAGTTTGGGGTGTGGGTGAGACAAGCGTGGGTCAGTCTTCAAGGAGGCCCTCGGCTGTGGCACCATCTTCCTGGTCCTATGGGTAGGAACCTCTGTGATCCCGAGAGCCTGAGTTGGGGGATGGGATGGAAGGAGAACCTAGATCACGGGACCCGGGGTCTAAGTGTGGGGCATGGAGACATTTCATGGCCTTTGGGTATCTCCTTCCAAGCCTCAGCCCTCTGGCCACCCAGCTGGCTCTGACTTTCTCTTCTCCCCATTGTCCAGGCCCACTGTATTGATGTGGTGGCCATGGTGAATGACACGGTGGGCATCATGATGGACTGTAAATGTGACTCCAAGTTTTGTGACGTTGGGCTTATTGTAGGTGAGCCATGGGTCATTCATGATGAAAGGTGGTGGATGCTTGGTGGGCAAGGCTCTGATGGGGTCTTCCCTGCCAGACACTGGCACCAATGCATGTTACATGGAGGAGGCACGGCACGTGAAAGCTCTGGATAAGGACCACGGCCGCACCTGCATCAGCATCGAGTGGGGCTCCTTCTGTGATGAGGCCGCCCTCGGGCCAGTCCTGACCACCTTCGACCATGCCCTGGACTGCGAATCCCTAGATCCTGGTGCTCAGAGGTGGTGGCCTGATGGTTTCCCTGGCTCTGCTCCAGGCCCTGTCATATTCCTGTTCTAACCTACCTTTTACTCTTGGGGCCCTGACCTCTTCCTGTCCTTCTGAGGGTTTGCTGCTTGCCCTGGCGGGGAGGGGGCAGTCCCAGATCAAATTCAAGGAAGAAAAGCTTCCGAGTGCTAAAACCCAGTTTTAAAATCCTTGATCCTAATAGTCAGCCCTGGTGGGTTGGGAACAGCTGAGTGAGATGTCGCCTGCCTTTCTAGGAGACCCCAGAGGTAACCCAAGGGTTAGAAAGGGTAAACCTGCTCGTCCTCTGGGAGGCCATTTGCTTCTGGAACCTTAAAAACAGTAATTCCTCTTGGAGGACTCGAGTGGGCTGAGGGCATACAAAGGGCATTGAGTTCTCCATTCCACTGTAGGTTCGAGAAGATGATTGGGGGCTTGTACTTGGGTGAACTGGTGAGGCTGGTACTGGTCCACTTCACCCAGCATGGGATCCTCTTTGGTGGCTGCACCTCTCCTGCCTTACTGAGTCAAGGCAGCATCCTCCTGGAACATGTGATCAAAATGGAGGAGTAAGTAAGGGGGCAGGCAGCTAGACAAGGGACAAGGGGAGCCTGCTTGGGAGAGGGTAAGGCACTCTCGGCCCACGGTAGCTGTGGGGCTTTGGTGAGATGGGCAGCTCCCAGGTGACCTAAGCTGCAAACCAACACCTCGTGTGTCTTCCCCTCCTCCCTGCAGCCCCGACACTGGGAAAGCCCAGATCCTCGCAGTCCTGCAGGACTTGGGTCTGAAACCTCAGGTCTCAGATGTTGAACACGTGCAGCATGTGTGTGCGGCGGTGTGCACACGGGCTGCCCAGCTCTGTGCTGCTGCCCTGGCTGCAGTCCTATCCCATCTCCAGCGCAGCCGGGAGCAGCAGACACTGCATGCAGCTGTGGCTACTGGAGGGCGAATGCTTGAAAAACACCCCAGGTACTGTGAGAATAGGATCCTATGTGAGCAGGTAGCATGTGTGTGCGTGTGTATGTGTATGATATGTACCCAGAGGGTGTTCTGATATCATGTGTGCAAGCTGGTGAATGTCAATGGCAGAGCGAGAGTTAAGCTAGGCTGTGGGAGGCCAGGAGGCATGTAGGGAGAGAAAAATGTTTTTGTGTGTGCCTGGGAAAGGGGCATCGAGGGCAGTAGATGTATGGTTGGTGCCAAGGAATAGGTTTAGGACTGAATTTGTTTAAAATGACAAGATGTAGGGCTCCAGCAGGCCATAGGCTCAGATGCCACGTTGAGTGTACCTGGTGTGTTTATGTAGGTTCCACCAGACTCTAAAGGAGATGGTAATGCTCTTGGTCCCAGAATGTGATGTCTCTTTCATCCCCTCTGTGGATGATGGTGGCCGGGGTGTGGCAATGGTGACAGCTGTGGCTGCCCGCCTGGCTGCCCACAAGCGCATCCTGGAGGATACCCTGGCACCATTTCAGCTGAGCTTCGAGCAGCTGAAAATGGTGCAGGCACAGATGCGGACAGCTATGATCAAGGGGCTTCAAGGAGAGGCCTCCTCCCTCCGCATGCTGCCCACTTACGTCCGAGCCACACCCGATGGCAGTGGTAAGCACCTGGCCTGAGAATGGACCTGGGATGGGGGTTACTGGGATTCATACCGTGTGCTAGGGCTGGAGCCACCTTTTCTTTCCTAGTACTGATGGTTTCTGTCCCACAGAGCGAGGTGATTTCCTGGCCTTGGACCTAGGGGGCACCAACTTCCGGGTCCTGTTGGTACGTGTGGTTGAAGGCAGTGTGCAGATCACCAACCAGATCTACTCTATCCCTGAGCATATAGCCCAGGGCTCTGGAGAACAGGTACTCACAGTTTGGGTCCTGATGTTAGAGGTGGAGAAGGTGGGAGAGAGAGCCTGCCCCTTGACACGGCCTATCCTGCAGCTCTTTGATCATATTGTGGACTGCATTGTGGATTTCCAGCAGAGTCAGGGCCTGAGTGGACACAGCCTACCCCTGGGATTCACCTTTTCCTTTCCGTGCAAACAGCTTGATCTGGACCAGGTAAGGGAGTTAAATCCAAGAGGTGATTCCCAAGGGCCTCCAGGCTCTATATCCTTAAAGAGTGGGCAGGAGGTCTAGGAAAACTGAGTAAGGGAAGCAGCAGCTTGCTGAGCTGGGACCGTCTGCAATCCTGGCTTTCTCCAAAAATGATGTGCCCATGGTTAGGATAGCAGGCATTTCAGAATAGCATTGGCTAGGTTGGTGCTGACCAGAAGATAGATTGCCTAGTTTGGCCTTACCTCTGGTGTCAACCAGGCCTCTGGTGTTCAGCCAGGCCTCTGGTGTTCTGCTTTGCCTCTGGTGTCAACCTTGGCTCTGGTATTCAGCCTTGTCTCTGGTGTCAATCATGCCCCTGGCGTTCAGTCACGCCTCTGGTGTCAACCTTGGCTCTGGTGTCAACAACACCTCTGGTATTCATCCTTGCCTCTGCTGTCTGTCTTCAGGAAGCAGCATTTGTTCCTTTCCCCAGAAAAGGCTCGAGGTCACATGTTTCTTTGCTTGCTTGCTTCTCAGCTTGGCACAGTGCTGAGGGCCTGATCTAGGCAGCAGGAGACATTCACAAGACATATCATATCCTTCAGCCTTGTATAGTAGACTTCCTAATGCATGCCTCCAGAGTCTGGCACTGGAACAGCTAGTCTTGGGCCAATTGTCCGAGCTCCCAGGAAACTCAGCACCTCCAGCATTTGTCTGGAAGCTTTTCATGCTGAGGAGCCTGCTGCCCGTGAAGGCCTCTGCTGGATCCTCAGTTGTCTTTCGGCCACCACGATCTTTATCTCCCCTTCAGACTGCATGTGTTGTTTTCACCCTGTGCTCCTATTCTGACTTCTGTGAAGCACAGCTGTTTTCTCTGCTGTCTTCTACACCACGGTCTGGATGGTGCAGCTGCCTCGTCTCTCCTCTAGGCCAAGCGTGCTCACTTCCTTTAACTGTTCTCCACAAGATATATGTGTCTCAGCGTACAAATCTGGGCAAGCAAAAAATGCTGCCTAATTGATTTTTTTTTTTTTTTGTAACTGAATATAGCTTGTGTGTGGAGCCCATGTTCTCACTGGGGATATAGTTCAGTAGTTGGACGCTTGTATGTGGGAAGTCCTGCACAGCACCATTTTCCTTGGACACCCTCCTACCCTTTCCCTCAGAAATACATAAAGAGACAGTATAGCCCTTTTCCAGATACAGTTCCGTCCCTCGTAACTATGTCCCATTGCTCACAAGATGCATTTACCTCACCCCCCTACCCTGCCCAGGTGGCTGGCTTCTGGAATAGCTGATGGAATTTCACACGGAAATGACCATGCCTAACCCTGAGAAGTCCTTCCTTCAAAGTGACTCCTGGAATTTTTCTTTGAAAGGGTGGGATTTGCTGACATTTGAGCCTCCAAAGCTTCTCCATCCTCCTCTTTCCTGCATGTAGCAATCATTCTGCTAGCCCTGTTCATTCCTAGCCCAATTCCAAAGGGCCATTCCTTCTGGGCAAGCATCTTAAAAGGGCCAGACCTCAGAGCACCTGAGCATTCTGGAACTAATAATGGAAGGCAGAGGTCAGGTTGTTATTAATAGGCTTCTTCACACTAAAAGTTTCCTAGGGAGTTAAGAGGGGAGAGAAAGCAAGGCCTTCGACCACAGGACCAAGTGAGCAAGGAATCCTGCGTGCGAAGGGCGGAGACTGTGTACTTCTGGTGGGATATCGGGTTGATGAGGCAGAGTAACATTTGTGTCTGCTTGATCCCATCTCAGGCCATTCTTCTGAATTGGACTAAGGGGTTCAGTGCATCAGGCTGCGAGGGCCAAGACGTGGTAAATCTATTACGGGAAGCCATTAAGCGCAAACAGGTAGGAGTCTACCTCCGGAGGTGCTTTTGGGGTTGTGACAAACCTGGAGGGGAGCAAAGGGGTCCTCTACAATAGAGACCTCTGAGTCCAGTGCTGGTTGCCATGACAACTATGTTGCCCAGCAACTAGCAGCATCCTTTTGTATGCAGGGAGTGGAGCTGAATGTGGTTGCCATTGTCAATGACACTGTGGGGACCATGATGTCCTGTGGCTATGATGATCCCCGTTGTGAGATAGGCCTCATTGTCGGTAAGGAGGGTCTTGCTCTTTGTGCTCCAATGCCTGATAATTCATTGCCTTCTGTTGATTCCATAGAACAGAGTTCTTTTGGGCTACTGAACTGGCTAGGAGTCTGGAATTAGGACATTTCATCCAAGTTAGCTACCGATTTAGTCACCGAATCTTCCTGAACCTCAGTTTGCCCATTTGTTACATGAATCTGTACTAGGCTGGCTTTGCTGCTCCTACTTTGGGTCTGCGAGAGTCTTAAGAGTCCCCGTTTTCTCATCCTAAGCTATAGATAATGACAAGAGGTTGAGAGAGTGGGATGAGAAGGGGCCAGGCATGTACAGTGATGGCACATGGTGCATACTCAGTGCTTGACGCTGGGGAGGGGTAGCAGGCCTGTGACTTGTGAGGGGTCTTCAGATAGTCAGGAGATACTGGTAAGCTCTTACCCTGGGGCTATCCGGCATCTGAACAAAGGGGCCAGACGACATATAAAGGACTCTATCTTCTCAGAATGGAGCATCCAGAGGGGACTAAGCCAAGAACAGCCTGTGGCACTTAGAGCTGATTCTGACTCCATACCCAAGGGCTGACAGGCTAGGATCAGAAAGGGAGCAGTCCTGGAACAAGGGGAAGATGGGGCTCTAAAGGAGGAGTGGGAGGCAGGGAAGGAAGGCTCTCAAGCCCCCTGAGCATGATATGCATATACTCTACTTAGTATACGGTGACCTCTCATGGTAGGTAGGTGCCCTGGAGATGTACAAACTATTAGATAAATCCTGGGTGGGGCTATCAAGGGGTCCACTTGCCCAGCACTGGAAGCCTGCAGAGCTTCTCACCTTCCTGATGCTGAGACCCTTTACTTATTTTCATTGCTACTTCACAATGTAATTTTGCTGCTTATTAATCATAATGTAAACATCTGTGTTTTCTGATGGTTTTTGGTGACTTCTGTGAAAGGATTGTTTGACCCCCCCAAAGGGGTTGTGACCCACAGGTTGAGAACCGCTGGTGTAGAGGGACAGAGGGAATTGCCTTTCTCTGTTTCTCAAATAGAAAAGCCAAACAGAGGAAGTACTGAGTCTTGTAGGAAGAAAAAAAGCTGCCCCTCTGTTCCAGTGCTCCACAATGCTCTTCTCTTTGTTCTCTTGGGACCTGGAAGTACCATTAGAGAAAGCCATTCACTGCCTAACTTGTGGCCAGATGGCGGGGGGGGGGGGGGGGGGGGGGGGGGGGGGGGGGGCTGGGCTGTGTCAGTGCTCTGTGTCCCCAGCTCCCGGCCCACTCCATTTAGTTAAAGACACACTAGGCAGTCAGGAGACTTTAGCCTCTACACACAGCTCCCAGGAGTGACATGCTGATGGCAGCACAGGGAGATGCACTAATGTTGGTGCTGTTAGGGGAGCCGAGGAAGTTCTGAGGCTTTGGTACTGACAAGGTCTCCATCAGAAATGTCAGAGAGGGAGACCAGGACCCGGGGCTAGCTTTGAACGTGGGAAGGTAGAGAGGTAAGGAGCTTACATTTTGATGTTTGGTGTGGGTTTAGGCAGGGGAGTAAGGCTCTCAAGCCCTCTGAGCACAACCCATAAAGGCTTTGTCTGTGTCAGTAAGCAGTCCCCACCCCTTGACCCTGGCCTGTCTACAGGAACGGGCACCAATGCCTGCTATATGGAGGAGCTCCAGAATGTGGCAAGTGTGGAAGGGAACTCGGGCCGCATGTGCATCAACATGGAGTGGGGTGCCTTTGGGGACGATGGCACACTGGGCATGTTCCTCACCCGCTTTGATGATTGTGTGGACCAGGCATCCATCAATCCAGGCAAACAGAGGTATGGCTGAGGCCCACGCAGGCAGGGGAGGTGAGCACCGCTGATGAGGCCGGCTACTTCATGTGTGTGTGTATGTGTATATGTGCTTCCATACAGGTTTGAGAAGATGATCAGCGGCATGTATCTGGGGGAGATTGTCCGCCATATCCTCCTGCATTTAACTAGTCTTGGTGCTCTCTTCCGGGGCCAGATGACTCAAAGCCTTCAGACCAGGGACATCTTCAAGACCAAGTTTCTCTCGGAGATTGAAAGGTGCTTGCACTGCAAGGCAGTCTGTCACTGGGGGATGCTGGATGTGGCTGGTAGTTGGGGGAGCCACTCGAGGGTTAGGTGGGAGAAACCCTGAGAAAGGGAGCTAACGCAAGGATCTTACTATTCTCTGTTCTGTTCCTTCCTGGCTTCAGTGACAGCCTGGCCCTGCGTCAGGTCCGAGCCATCCTGGAAGACCTGGGGTTGCCTCTGACCTCTGACGATGCCCTGATGGTCCTAGAGGTGTGCCAGGCTGTGTCTCGGAGGGCTGCCCAACTCTGTGGGGCGGGTATGGCTGCAGTGGTGGAAAAGATGCGAGAGAACCGGGGCCTGCAGGAGCTGACAGTGTCCGTGGGCGTAGATGGGACACTCTACAAATTACACCCTCAGTGAGTCCGGGTGGGTGGGCCAGGCAGGGAGGCATGGCCAAGTAGGCTGGGCTAGCCTGGGCTAACCTCAGCCCCTTGTCTTCACAGCTTCTCCAAGCTAGTGTCAGCTACAGTTCAGAAGCTAGCCCCTCACTGCAAGGTCACCTTTTTGCAATCAGAGGACGGGTCTGGTAAAGGTGCAGCTTTGGTAACTGCTGTTGCCTGTCGCCTTGCCCAGAGGGCCAGTGTCTGAGGGAACATCCAAGAATGATGGGATCTCACCAGACTGAGACCTCAGCCTAGCCTGATCCCCTGGCAGACCCAACCACCTGTGACCCCCCAAAGCAAGCCTTGTGTGACCCCTTATAAACATCTGTCCACATCCAATGGCTGAGAGAAGTAACACTCTGGTTAGCAATATATATATATAATTTATTTACATTCACGTCCGCTAAAATCCCTACGTGCCCCGGCAGCCGGGCAAGGCTGTGTACATAAGGCCAAGTGTAAGTGCACGAATGCACGTAAGACAGAGTCAGGACACAAGCTTCACACAACAGGCCCTCACAGGGGCACTGGCCAGCCCCAGGAATGGGCACGCCACGGCACACACACTTGCCATTGTACAGCCCGGGACTCCCATTGCATATTCACACGCCCTGCTGGGCAGGGCACCTCGAGGCTGGGGACAGGGAAAGGATCAGGGAGGAGCCATCGGGTGTCCCTGGAAGGGTGGGAGAAGGGCAGCATGTGAGAGGCAGATGTGTACCGACATCAGATGTGAGAGACGTGAGCAGCCTCCAGGTGCACAGCATGAGATGTGTGTAGTGGGGGAGGGTCCTGCATGACCTGGAGAGGGGTGCGTGTGAGATGAGCACACGAGGCATATGTGAACACATGTGTGAACACATGCCTATGTTCACATATGTGAACACATGCCTATGTGGTGATCGTGTGCCTGAGTCCAAGGGCCAGCCCCTGTCCAGCTGGGGCCCTTAGTCCCCCAGGCTTGAAGCCAGGCCCCTCAAATATACCCCTACCCAGCAGGCACAGAAATGTTTGCATAAGGCCCACCTCAGGCAGGAGCTCTGGGGGCCATGTCCCAAGCCCAGCATGTGTGCGCATGCTGTGTGTATGCGGGGCCCCTGGCAAGGGACAGGAGGAGAGGTAGCATCACACGCTTATACACACACACACACAGAGATGGGCTGGGCTCAGCCCAGGCTCCAGGCACTGTCCACTCTGGGTCCTGGGACCAGGGCAGAGTGAGAGCAGGTGGCTATACCAACCTGGCCAGGCAGGCCATGGAGGGATGGAATTTGGGCAGGGTCTGAAGGACCAGCATTAAGGGACAACTTCAGCCAGGAGGGGGCCTGCCCAAGCAGCTCTCCCCGAGTGTGGGGGTAGGGCCCTTGTCTGGCTTTTGCCTGTCCCTGGCAGGTGCCAAAGCTGGTGAGAGTGTAGGCATTACCGGCCTGGCTAGTCTCAGCATTCGGCCTCTGACACTGTGAAGAGGCCAGCGTCTGGCTGGCCCAGTCCAGCCACAGCTGCTGCCAGCTGGCCGAGGTTGCCGTTGGGGAAGTGCCGTGCCTCCCATAGGTTGAGGATCATGGCCGTGGGACTGGGTTTGGAGGCAAAGAAGCTAAGATGGCTGCAAAGAGACAGTCTTGTCAGTCTGGCCTCCCTCTAGGCCCCGTCATGCCCCCAGTCTAACCAAAGGTAAGCATCCCCTCAAACACACCCACCACCTTGGCTACCAGCGGCTATGGCACAGACCCTGTAAGCCTCCCGTCTACCCCAGCTGCCCTACCAGTCCCGCTCTGCCTGTTTCCACCCACCTGTCCAGGTGAAGTTTCTGGGCTAGAGTCCGCCAGTCGGCACCCCGGCTGCAGGGTGGGTCCAGGCTGGTAATGATCTTTTGCCGAATGAGGAAGGGGATCTTGAAGGCACTGGGGCCCACCAGGGCAGGGACCCCCCCTTCACTCTCCAGAGCCAGCAGTTCAGCAAACCTCGTGTCCTGGGTTATGTGAGATGTGTAATAGGTGCCCATTAGAACTCTGCCCACTGCTGCCACCGCTGAGGGAATTCCCAGACCACCCCGGGTCATGGGGACAGCAGGGGCACTGGGCATCCTCCCTTATGACCCAGGGCCCTACTCTTTGGGTCTCAGAGATGTAGTCACCTGGCCAAAGTCACAGTCGGTGTTAGAGGAAGTCTCTTGTCGTGTGCCCCCTCTACCCTACTCCCCCCACGCCCAGCACTACTGCTCTGCTGGCCACCCCACACCTATCCCTCTTTTCTCACCACACGGCTGCACGCAGTTCCTGTTGCCAAAAATGCCCCTTCCTACCCCATCGTCTGTCAGACTCCTGCTCCTGTTACCCTTTAGGGCTCAGGGCAAAGCCCCTCCAGGGCCTTAGGCCAAGTCTACCTGCACCCTTACCCTGTGTGATCCTCCTCCCCATGGCTCATTTGCACTTGCACCTCTGTCTCCAGCAACTTGGAAGAAGTTAGAAGAGTCAGAGGGCTGGTGGCAAGCTGGCAGCCAGGCCCAGAGATGGAGCATTTCGGGACGGGGGTAGTGGGAGCACATCACCTTTCTGCCCACCTTGGTGATGTTAAAGTTGATGCTGAAGCTCTGCCCGTCGCCTTCCACCTGCCACACCCACACCTTGCAGGCCAGGTCACTGGTGCTGGGGTTGACGCGCTCCAGGGTGAAGGTGCAGTGCAGATACTGCTGGGTGCCATTCCAGATGTGGTAGAAAGGGATCTCCTGTGGAAAGGGACAAAGAGGCGGCATCAAGTGTGCCTGGCACCAGACCGTGGTGCTCTGGCCATAGCATGGGCCTCACCTGGTAGCTGACCAGGAGCTTGCTCTTCCACAGGGAGCTGGGCACATCGTGGATGGACAGGCGTAGGTTGTGGTAACTGTCTTTGAAGTGCAGGACACGAGGCTCCTGGATCAGCTGTCCACCCAGCTGCTTCTCCAACTGCACCACCTCCTGCGGGGCCCAGAGGGTCAGCCAGGCCCGAGAGTGGGAGTGACCCTCCCTGCTGCCCCCAAGACAAGGCAGTCTGTATGCACAGGGCTGGGTGGTCAGCCCATGGGAGGGTATGCGGAAGTACCTTGAGTGCATCATGGGTGTCGTGCAGGCAGTACACACGGATGTTGTACTCGAGGGACGTGCAGGCCACGGGAGCAAACAGGAGGAGCTTGAGGCGCTTGGTGGCAGCCACACTGAGGGCCTCTCCCACCAGGGCAAAGCGGCCTAGCTGCTCAGTGAAGACATAGCAGGCACCGGCCTCCAGCTGGCAGTAGTAGAGGTTGGAGGGCGACTCCTCACCAAGGTGCAGCACATCCTGTGGGTGGGGCCTAATGTGTCAGCTCCTAGCCAGCTGGCCAGAGCTGGAGGAGACTAAGGACCACAGAGTGGCTAAAGTGGCCGAAGGAATGGGAGGCCAGGCTCACTCTGAGGCCAGTGTCTGGGTTGGGTGGCCTCAGATACGGTTGGTTCCCTGCTTACCTCCCAGCTGCCCTCGCAGGACTGCTTTTTGAGGTGCAGGCTCCAGCTGTCAGAGCTGGGCTCTCCGCAGTGGTCCATGGCAAGGATGACTGGCCGTGTGAGCAGGACTCCTGGAGGCCCACAGCTAACGATGGGACTCAGCAGGGTCTGACAGCCAGCTAGGGGCAACCTCAAGTGGGGAAATATGGGTGGGGAGGGAAAGGCGTCAGTGGCCAGTCCTAGAGACGGTGGGGTTAGGGGATGAGCTTTGGGTAGGGCGAGTGGAACCCTAGGGACAGGAGCTGCAAAGCAGGGGGAACTTAAGACGGCTCATCCCTGTCCTCCCTCAGGCCTGCTCAGAACAGGCAGAGCAGTGCTGGGCGCAGTGTGTGTGTGATATATGTGTGCATGTGTGTTCAAGTGATTCAGGACAGCTGGTGGGTGCCCTCTCAGCCCCTCACCACAGCAAGGTCAGAACAGGCACAGCAGGGCTGGGCTCAGTGTGGGGTGTGTGTGGTATGTGTGTTCAAGTGATTCAGGATAGCTGGCCGGTGCCCTCCCAGGCCCCCCCACCACCACAACAAGGCCCAGGCCCACACCTCACGTCTTCTGGCTTGTGCAGTGTGAGGTAGATCTCGTAGATCTTTCCTCGGGGGATGGCGTCTGGGGGAATGAGGAGGCTGATTCCTGTAACGGCAAAGGGTCAGGGCTTACTGCCACAGATAACCAATGCCCCGTGAACTAGCTGGACGCAGGACTTTCCCTGTAGCCAGCTCTGTCTGGGGACAGAGGTGCGTCAAGGACGACCACACTGTCCCACCACCCACATAAGCACGACTCGGAATAACATCTGAGGTGAGGCAGCTAGGACAAGGCGGAACTAGGACAGGAGACACCACGTGCACTGTTCCCACCTCCCCCGGTACCAAATGACATTATTTGGGACCAGGGCCTTTTCTGCTTTAAATCTTCCCTGTCTTCCAGGCCTGTCACTGAAGGGCCTCACTGTTGTCCCAGCAGTACTCTGGACTGCCTGGGCTACATTCAATAGTTCCCGAACAGTGCTCCTTCGGTCCTGCTCAGGCTCCTCTATTAGTCCTGTCCCCTCTAAGAACTAGCCACTTCCTGTCACTGTCTCCATCCTTGCTGGTGGTGCCGGGCCTCTAACAGCCCAAGAGCCAGGATCTGTGGCCTAGAGGTCCTCCCATTCCACCGACATGTCCCGCCCCAGAAGTCTCAGCAGCAGTATCTGAGTGCATGTGGAGAGCGGTGGGGGGGGGGGGGGAGTGTTCAGCCAGCAAGGACAGAGCTGAGCAATTACAGAGAACCAAGTGAGGCCCTGGGAAACTCCACGTGAGGAGCCCTACAGCAGGCAGATGTGGCTCCGGGGTGTGCTGGGTTGGACTGCTAGGCCAGGCTATATAAGGACATTATAGTCTGCAAATCAACAGTGACGGCTCCATAGGATCTGTAGGTTTGTGTAAGGGCGCTCCATGGTGTTCATCTATTTGTGTCCCATTGGTAAGTGATGCATGAAGAGGGAGTCTCCTGACTCCTTCAGTAGCCTGTGCTGTTTCTAGGCCCCGGTGTGGCTACTCTGGTATAATCACACACATCCTGGCATGAATGCCGGCTGGAGGGAGGTGCACATACTTGTACGCTCATTTGAAACTGGATACTCACGCTGGGCACTCAGAATGTCGAGAGGAAGAAAGGGTGCCAGCGCTCAGGCCAGCAAGGAAATAGCCAAGTAAATATGAGCAAGGCACGTGGGGGCAGCCTCGCACACTACCGGGGGCCACCAAGCACCCACCATCTGTTCGCCTCCTTGTTGGAGCTGACAGGTACTGTCTCACCTCGCTACCCCGTGAGGGTCCTGAGGGGTGTGTGTGGCACTGACAGCCATGGCAGGCGAGGCAGCAGGAAAGGGGCAGCATGGTGTGTCCAGGTTCACATGCAGAGTGCGTGTGGGGAGGGGGAACACCCTGCAGCTAGCCAGTCATGTGGGAGCCCCAGGGAACCCCCGGGAGGAGTTGAGTACGGGAGGAACATAATCACCACGGGATTCAGTGAATGGGGGGGTTAGAGCTAAGGGTGTGATAGTCTGGGTGTGGTAAAGTATCAGGGCAAGACGGGAAGCAGGAGGCAGCAGCAGCTGTTGGGAAGGATGAACACACAATGTCACGTGACTACAGCTGACCAAGGTGACCCCCTAACCAGTCTCTAGCTTAGGCACAGCCTGTGCTAACTGTGAACTGGGGAAAACCCGAGAGGGGCAGCTGTGGGAGAGGGTGTGAGAGGATTCTGTTTTAGGCATAGAGACTGAGGTGCCGTGAGACATCCAGATAGAGCTACCCAAGAGGAGTTCTAAGGCCTGGGAGGAGTGGGTGCTGGGCTGGAGGAGTGGGTGAGAGCCCTTGGAGAGAAACAGAACAGAGGGGGATCTCTGAGGAACACCTATGCTGGAACAGCCAGAGATGGGCAAGGAGATGGGGGTACACGGGGTCATCTAAAGAGAGGGAACAGAGAATGTTAGAGCGGGGTGGTCAGCCTTATTAGTAGTCGTTGTGATTTCTCCAAAGATGGCCCATGAGGTCTCGGGGACCCTGTCTGAGGCACTTTTGTGGAGTGGTGGATCCAGAATGCAGTGTGTGGGGGGGGTTCTTAAGGGGCACTCTGCTGTTTTGTCATGTGTGAGCCTCCGGGGTCTAGTGTTCGTCCCACTTCTGAGCCTGGGGCCCATGCAGACCCTTACCCTCAGCTTCACTGTAGCTCCGCGTGTTCCTTCCTAAACACCCTCCTTTCCTGCGGGCCAGCCCCAGCCCCAGCCCCAGCCCCTCCACAGAGGCTGGTGCACTCAGGAGGAACATCTGGGCTGTTCTGCCCTTCTCTGGGAAGATGAGATTAGTGTTGTGCCCTCGCGCTCTGTGGGAGCTCTGGGGTCCTACCTGTATTAGGGATCATCAGCCGGCCCCCGAGGAAGTTGAAGGTCCCGTAGGCCATGTTGCTGGTGCCACGAGGCAGGGAACGAAAGTAGTTTTGGGTGGAGAGGCGGGAGACGAAGTCCTCCGCCTCAGAGGTGGGTGAGCTGTGGTGCAGAGTGTGGCGGCCACCACCCAGGGGACTGAGCAGGTGACCATTGGAGAGCTGGAACTTGGGGCTGGGCCCATCCTGCCGGGGACACAGACTGCCCTGGTAGGTAGTGGTGGTGGTGCTGAGGTCTGGCTGGATGGTGAGCAGATGGGGGCTGTCTATGAGATAAGATGGAGTTAGCTGGTGGCTCAGCGGGATTCTTCCTCGGCAGCCCCTGCTTGGGGGCTCAGGCAGGAGAGCAGGGGGAGGGGCCCCCTCACCTGCTTTGTTGGGCTTGATGCTGACAGGCTGGAAGCCTGAGGTGAGGATGGACGAGTCGGCCACGTCTGAGTCCAGTCCTTCCTTCTTGCGGCAATAAATGAGGACGAGGACAAGCAGCAGCAAGATGAGGCACACAGCCACGGCCACGAGGCCGATGTAGAGGGCCACGTCCTCGGGGCCGGAAGCAGCTGCAAGAGAAAGTATGGTCTTGGGAACGGCAGAGCTGCAGGAGGAGCGATGAAGGAGAGGCCCACAGCCTATACCCCGGGAGAATAAGGTCTCAGCACTCCCTGGGCAGCGGGCATGAGGCAGGGAGCATGGTACTGATGTGCATTCTAGTTCTGTCCTAGCCATCACCTTGCTTGGGATTGAACAGGTTGCATCCCTCACAGGCATAAGATGTGGCCTGAGGTTGCCAGGAGAGGGGAGGAGGAAAAGAGCTACCTCCCTGGGGTGATTGTCTGTGCTTGGCTGCTAAGAAGGATGGCAGGGTGGCAGGGGCAAGGTATACTCCTGGGATACCCAGACTATGGTGCTACAGTTCACATATGTCTGCCTAAGGGTTCATATTACAGGCTGGTCCCCAGTGTGGCAATGTCAGAGGCAGTGGGACCTTTTCAGGGGTGGGGCCTAGTGGGAGGGCATTACATCATTGTGAGTGCTGCTCTCAGTCCACGGGTGTATGTGTGTGTGTGTGTGTCCATCTCTCTGTATGTCTGTCTGTCTCTTTCTCTCTCTCTGACATGTGATCTCTCTTGTATGCATTACTGACATGGTACCATCTGCCACTAAGTAATGTGGCTTGGGGTGGCTGCATTTGCCAGAGCTAACATCATGCTATTTGGAATCTGAGCCTCTAAAACTAATAAACCTCTTTTGCTATTTCATTATAGTAATGGACAAACACATGGATGATCAGCTTCTCGTGTATTTCCAGGTCAGTGTGAGCCCTTGGGTATACCACCAGCCCTGGAACTGGGGTGGGGTAGGGGGACCAACTACTTGGAAGAAGCTCTATTGATTTTTGAGAGTTTGGCATAATGGAAGAAATGTCCATCAGAAAAGGAATTGACACAGATAATTAGGTTTTTAATTGAAAGACTAGGGGAGGGTGCAGTCTAGAGAAAAAAAATCCAACAGAGATCTTTAATTGTTAGTTATGGCCTTGTAATTAACAGGCCTCAGGAGCCCAGCATCCCCACAGGACTTACATGCGTGCTTGGGGGATGGGAGAATTCCAAGGCTGTGGGAGAGCAGATGGGTGTACATGAGTCAAGGTTCACTTCTGTGCATGGCTCAGGAGGAGGGTGATGAAAGCATGTGAGCATGTGGATGGGGTAGGGGCAAGGGGGACCCCTGGATCCCAGGCTCTGGAGAGGCACAGTCTGTGGCAAGGCCACCACCTCTAGGGCTGGACAGGGCCAACACAGTCTACGGCAAGGCCACCGCCTCTAGGGCTGGACAGGGGTAACACAGTCTGTGGCAAGGCCACCGCCTCTAGGGCTGGACAGGGCCAACACAGTCTACGGCAAGGCCACCGCCTCTAGGGCTGGATAGGGATAACACAGTCTATGGCAAGGCCACCACCTCTAGGGCTGGGCAGGGATAACATAGTCTACGGCAAGGCCACCGCCTCTAGGGCTGGGCAGGGGTAACTCTGGCAAACTGATGTGGCCCCTGGGGCAGAGAAGACTCACTGTGCATGCAGAGGTCACTGGTACAGTTGCGGGTATCCAGGTCGGCACCCCGACACTCCTCACCTCCATTCCGGGGTGCTGGGTCAGAGCACTCGCGGCTCCGCCAGTGGGTGCAGTCAAGCCCACAGGCTGACCACTTACTCCATGGACTCCAGCTCCCATCCACTAAAGAAGAGAGACACAGGCAGAGGGCAGACAGTACCATCAGCTTAGGAAGCTGGCCCGGGGTAGCCTGCCTGGGTGCCCCACTAGTCATCTGGACTAGGCAGGGCAAGCTGGCCTGGACTCGGGTACAATGCCAGCGTCAAGCTCTCCAATCTGCAAGACCTTGAACTGTCCAGCTAGCCTTGATGACACATGCTAATGGCGGGGAGGCGCGATGATGCCAGGGGCTGCTTGGCTCTCCCCACCCAGGGAGGCTGTCCTGGTCCTGAGGTGGTAAGGGCGGTTAGTCACATGACTGCCCTTCTGGTCCCAGGCACAGGTGGATTGTGCAGCCCCAGGCTGAGCCTAGATCCTGTCTTCAGATGGCATCCTAGACCCTACATTGAGCCCAGGCCCGGACACAGACCGAGCCCTGACTCTGACCACACTGCACCCTGATCCCCACCTCAGACTGAGCCTGGCCCTGCGAGGCGGGCGGGTGGGATGGAGCCATGGGGGGGCAGGCTGGTGGGTGCGATGGAGCCAGGCCACGGAGATGGCGTGGTGAGGAACGATGCAGGAGGCGGTGGCCGCTGGTACCTGGGCACAGAGTGGCGCAGGCTGTTTTCTGGACATTCTGCCCCTCACAGAAGGCGCCCCCGTTGAGAGGTGCCGGGTTGGTGCAGCTCCGGCTCCGTTTCTGCCAGCCGCGCCCACAGCTGGCGCTGCAGACGGACCACTCAGTCCACGTCGACCACCCACCGTTCACTGGCCGGATAGAGAAGGACTGGGGTCAGGGAGCGGGGGCTTCCTCAGACATGCTGGTCCAAGGGATGGGGCAGGAGGGCAAAGGGCCTGTGAGCAGGGAGTGAGCGGGCCGCTGTGCTGGGGGATGCTGAGGAGGGCCAAGCCCAGGCTGCTGGACCCTGAGGCCCGGCAGCACCTTCAGATACTCTATTCTCTTGGCAAGCTTCAGGGCAGCCAGGCTAAACTGTAGCTCACAGAGCACCTCCAGCTGGAGCCCAGCTTCTGAAGGGGCAGATCATGTGCGACCTCCCTCTGCCTGCTCTTGGGAGTCCCAGTTTATGTGACTCTACTTCCCATTCTGGGGCCTGAGAAGCACAAGGATGACTTGTTTAGTTCCTCTGAGCCTCATCTTGCCTCTTCACCTCTTGCACTGTGCGCCCCATTCACCTGTGTCTGACACTTGTCCCCTCCCTCTGCCCAGACATACCTCTGGCCTCTTTCCTAGTCAGGACACTGTCTGGTCAGCCTGGCCCTTGCTCCATGCCTTGCCATCCTACGAATCACATATCACTTCCCTGATGGTACCTCAGTACCTCTTTCTATGACTGGGGAGCCCCAGGACCCACCATAGACAACGACAGCAGCAGAGGCACTGCGGCGTCGGGCCACGATGTTCTTGGCCACGCAGGTGTAGTTGGCAGTGTCGGCCAGGCGGGCCTGCCGCACCACTAGGCTGTGCTCCCGTGTGATGTACACATTGGGGTCAAGGGAGGGATCCACGAGGTCCTCATTTCGAAGCCACTCCACCTGGGGAGAGAAGCCATGCTGGCCTGACCAGGCGACAGAGTGACCTCTGCGGAGGTGGCAGCCAGGAGCCTGGACTTCAGATGGGATAGGAGGTCTGGGGGCCCTGGGACCCTGTAGAGTGGGTCCTACAGCCCCACTCACCTCAGCTGGGGGGATGCCTTCTGGGGGGCGACAGGGCAGTACAATGCCCTGCTCCAGTGATACTTCTTTGGCCAGTGGCTCCTGTTCAAAGTTCTTGCGCAAATCTGGAGGAAGAAAACAGTATCCTTAAATGTCTGGCTTAGCCCAACTGGCTCTTGGCCCTTGGTCCTGCAAGAACCACGATCTGTGACGGAACAAAGTACCAAGTTCACAGGGGACCACGGGGAGAATTTATGTCCCCAGACATCTCCTCCACCCATCAAGGTAAGGCTGTGACCTCCAGGAAGCCTGCCATTCCCTCTCCAGGGGATACCCTCAAGGGTCCACTCTTGTAGACTCACAGGCAATCCGGATGTAGGCCTTCTGACTTTTGGTAGTACCCGAGGAGCTCCACGCCACGCACTGGCACCAGTATTCCTCCAGCCCGAACACTTTCTCTACCTGCTGCCTCGAGACATTGATACGAACCTCCATGGTCGGCAGCCCTGCTGGTTCAAGGGTTACAGTGAGACTCCCTGTCCTAGACGGTTGACACCCTGTACCACCAACAGCAGTTTGCGGACACTGTGAGCCCCCCTCAGTCTGGAGGGGACTCCAGCATGACTAAAAGGGATGCTGACATATCTCCTGGACACACGGAGTATGGTTGCTAGGACTTCCGTTGTTCTACTTTGTCATCTGAGGCCTGTGTGTCCAGTAAGTCACTGATGGAAAATCTCTGAAGTTGGGAGCTTTGGTCAGCAGGTTTTGGCCTCTAGGAACCCCTAGAGGAAGGGTGGAGCAAACAGGCTGAGCTCTCTGTAGGCACAGGAGGGTAGGAAAGTCTGCTAATCTCCCTGGAGGGCTAGCAGGTAGATCTGACAGGTGATAACGAAACAGCTATTATCATTACTCTGCTAGGCAGGATGGAAATAGACTCCCGGGACTCAGGCTTTCCCACATGCTAGGGTGGTATCTCACTCACGCCGCTCCCTCCCCTGGAACTGTTCCAACTCTGCTCCATGGGGGTGCCCCACTCTGGATAGAGCAGCAGGTGCAGAGAACACCTGATCTGCCACAAGCACCAGGGTGGTCTGAATCCATTGTGGTCTATATTCTACAGACGCCTGGGGTGGTCTAAGTGTGATCATCCATCCATGGGTGGGTATGTGTTACAGTATGAGGGCAAAGGTCAGCAAGTAAGGGTCAAGAGGGCTGGTGGCTGGAGGAGTCTGGGTGTGCCCGAACAAACCCTTCTGCCACCTCACTCAGATCCCCACCTGCTGCAGTATCCAGAACCAGGCAGTGGGGTGCTTCGGGGAGGGGGACCAGTCTCTTTGACAACCTAGAATGGAGGATGCCTGGGTCTCCATGCCACTTCCCACCCCTAGTCTACAGCCAAAACCGCTGTCCCAGGAGTGAGAAAAGACTGTTTGTTTCCAATTTCTCCTCCTCCTGACCCCAATTTCCCTTGGGTCACTGGCTTATCAGAGAGAGAGAGAGAGGCCAGCCGCCAATGTGTTTCCATTGTTAACAGAGAAATTCAATTAGGGTTGCATTGCAGGAGCAGGGAGCCCAGCTGAGCCAGCCAGCCTGGGAGACTGTTTTCCTTCTTCATTTCTCTAACATGTCTGTCTCCCTGACCCCTTCCCAGACCCTCATGGAGTCTCTCCAGCTGTAGCACTGGGACCAGATGTTTCTATCGCTCGTCCCATCCCCCGGCTAGTTCTTACAGGTGTGTATGTGTGTCCACAGTCTCCTCTGGCTTCTATGACTAGTAGGCAACCAATCTCTGTTGTGGACACTTTCTCCTGATGTTCCTACTCTCTCGGGTGTCGGGTTGGGTGGGGCTGAGAACCAAGGTGCCTTTCACTGGGCCTGGGCGCCTCAGCTATCTGTCAAGCTCACGGCACACTTGGGGCCTCCAAGCTGGGCTCATGGTGGAGCAGGGCCTCTTCTCCCTTCTTCTGTCTCAGGGTCAGGGATGGACCACCTCCAGAACACTCTGGCCTGTTCTGAGTGTCCTTGCGGGGGGGCAGGCCTACTGATGGCCCCCAAGCCCCTGCCTCCCTTACACGGAGGTTATTCACCACATAGGGGAAGCTTAGCTTGGGAGTCACAGCACTAAGCCAAGTACTTTTTTTGTTTTTCTGTCTTTCTTCAGCCCCCTCCCCACATCTTCTTCCTGCTGCCGTGAATGGAGGGGTGGAGGGCATTCATCCACAGTGACCTAGCTTCAGGCTGCACCTTCAGATCCACAAGCTTTGAGGGCTGAGGGGAGGGGGAACACTAGACCCTGCCCTGCCTTCCAGCAGCTCGTTAAGGAGCCTGGTTCCTGGGAGCGGATCCTGACTAGGAAATATGAGCGGGTGCCACAGTCTTGGAGAGGAAGCAGGGACCCTAGGGTGCTTGGACTAGGGCTGTGTATGTGTATGAATGCAGAATGCACACGTGGGAACCTGCAGTGGGGACTTGCTGAGTGCTTCTGGGAGGTGGAGGATTAGCTGGGCACTCTGAAGTCAAAGTGGGCTCCTTCTATCTGATTTTAAGAAGCACCCAATTTAACAATGAATTATATTCTGTATCAGAGGCCAGTGCTTGCTTTTACAGATTCCAGGTTTCCCCTGGCCTTCTGGATGGGAAGCGAAGGCAAAGGATGGGCATTTGTCCCTTGGGAGAGACTCTCCTGTGCCACCGTAGCCCTTACACATGAGTGACCAGGGCTCAGGTCTGTGTGGACTGCTAACCCCTGCCACACCTGTCTGACCAGACCAGTTCAGAGTCTGGTATGTGTACTTGCAAGACACTTCTTGCCATGGCCTCTGTGCATAGTTAGGGAAAGCCTTTCTCCTGGCCTTGTGGCACTCTGATTCATAGCTGAGAGAAAATTAACTCGGGGAACTCTGATGTGCTGGCCATTGGTAGCCTGAGCCTTGAAGTTCAAGGCAGAAGAGGGACCTGGTGGCTATGTGGGATAAGTCCCCATGATTCTGCTTCTGTTTATGTGGAAGGACAGCCAGCACAAGCGCCAATGGGAGTATAGGGTGGGGACTGTCCATGTGTGTGCTGCAAGGTGCAAGGTTGCTCAGGCAGACAATGCGACAGCAAGATGAGGGGGGATGGACAGGTCCACGGCAGGGTTCACGATGACATAAAGAGGTACCCTGCCTATGCAATTACAGTTTCTCCTTCAACCTGAAAAGACCGTTAACTTCCAGTCCACAGATTAAAACACTGCTTCGGGGTTTGAGGGTGTTTCCTGCGGTTCTCATGCCCAGATAATGTGGGTTCTGGAGGTGCACCCACAGTCAGCAGGCCATCCGCACCACTAGTCTTGGGAGCTACTGCTACTATCAAGACCTTTCTTGAGCTATGCTCCCCAGCTTCCTCCTGCAGGCGGGAGTCAGCAGCCTGAGAGCTGTGGGGGCCGAATCTTTAGTACCTAGCCTGGCACAAGGGTATGCAGTGAACACTTGGGGGTTTGCAGGAAGGAAACGGCAAGCAGCAGGTATGGATACAGTTGAATCAGTACAGGATGCCGCGCTCAGCCAGGAGTTGCTAACCTAAGGAATAGGCCAGGGGAGTAGAGAGTCCTTAGGACCTCTGCTGGGGGGCTGAGCTGGCACAGGGTGGGGAGGAATCCCACCTCTGTGAACTCTGGTGGCAGGGGATGGGTATCCTCTTCGTGGGCTAGGAAACCTGATTGGAGCCCTCTGGGGGTCCTGGGCAGGTCAGGGTCAATCAAGGCCTCGCTCGGCCCCCTCTGTTGACCAGACTGCTTCCGGGGACTAGGTTATGCTGTCTGAATCCAGGGCTCTTCGGCTTGCATTCACAATAGCGAGCACTTCTGACTGTCCTCCCAGACCGCAGCTTCACCATCTGTCCTGCGCCATCCTCCCACGGCACACATCTGACTCCAGTTGTCCTGACATCTGCCTGCACCCCAGGCTGACTTTCCCATCCAACCCCAAGCCATCGTCAAGGGTCGGTGTTCCGTCTCTCACCCTATCCCTTCTATGTACTTCTAAACTTGGATGCTATCCCTCCTCTAGAGCTCCTCCTAGGGCAGCCACCACCCATTCCCGCTTCCCTGCAGCACAGGCCACACTCTGGGTCACCTTCCTGGGTCCTGATCCCAGAACTGCTTGTCTGTCTGGCTGGCACTGTGGCTCACCCTCACGCTGGTGGCCTACACATCTCAAATGGGCTGTCTCCTGGGGTGTATGCTGTATCTCAGGCTGGCTGAGGCTGTGGTGGAAAGAGATGCAGGCCTAAGCCAGAAGGCTCCATGTGTGTTAGTGGCCGTTAGTATCAGTTCTGTTCGTGTTAGTATGGCTGCCTCTGAGGCCCTGCTTTTGGGGAGTACTGGAAGCCAGTGCAGGGCTCTCGACCCACCTGTCACCTGAGACTGGGGCTGGCAAGGGGCGAGCTGCTGTCCTACAGGAGGGTCAGTACTTCTTGGTTTTGCCTGCTGCTCGTCAGAGCCCCTCCACCCCTGTCAGCTGAGTCCCCTTGGGTCTGCTTCTGTCGGCCCCCATCCTGTGTCACCCACGGTTCTGGTCACGTCACTCTGCGGTCTGAAATGCCATAGGTCAGTGGCATTCCTTGGGTTCTCTTGTGTGCATGGCTGGCCTTTGTTTGGGCTATGTCCTTGGTCAGGGTATTTTTTACCTCTTCTCTCTCTGGCCATTTCTGAGTTCTCCATCACTTAGCCTCCCCCGGAGGAGCATGCCTCAACTCTGCTCTCCTCTTACTAAGAAGTCAGCTACTGCCTGCCTTTCTTGGGGGACTGTGTCCCCAGCAGAGGGACTGTGAAATGACACAAGTGTGCTTGCACAGAGAGCAAAAAACAACCAGAGAATGCATTCTTATCGTGTGGCGCCTACTCAGTTCTACCCCGTTTCTTTTCAGGCGCCTCTGGACAGGCTTCCCTGATGTTATTAATTGCTGGGAGACCCTGGGCCATTTCAGTGGATGAATGTGTGTGTGTGTGTGTGGGCTTCCCTCTTATGTCCCAAGCTAATGGTCAAGTGACGTCCCAGAGAAGACCTTTGTATATTCACAGAGTGCCAGGTGTGGGGGTTCTGCCTTCCCTGGTGATCTAGAAAGAAACAAGCCAGGAGGCGGCTGCACCTGGTCCTGCAGCTTGCAGGTGCTCACGGACCCTCAGGGCCAGCTGCTGTCTTCCAGTGACCACAGCTGCCTTCCATCCAGGACTCACCGCTGCTGCTGTCAGTGCTGCGCTCGATCACGTGATCCACCTGGCGTACCCACTCCCCATTGCACTTGAAGAAGATCTGGGTGGCGGGCACAGCCTTACACACCAGCAGCACGGGCTTATTCTTCACAATGTACACGTCCTCGGGCTCCACCAGGAAGTGGGGAAGCAGATCTGGGCTGCCACCAGGCACTGGACTGGCCACTGTGGCACTCTGCTGGGCACCTGTGGGAGGAGGACGGGAGGAGGTAAGTCGGGCCTTCCTGAGACCGGCCGAGGCAGCTGGCGTAGCAAAAGCCTGGCTTTGGGTGGGACCAAGGGAATAACTAAGTGCAGGCTGAGCCACTGAAAACATTTCCTAGCCTGTGTCCTTATCTGCAAGTCAGTGTAAGAAAGGGCCCATGACCTTCTGAAGACAAGGGTGGCCCAGGGTGGCTAAGGCAGGTATCAGCACTCACGGAGCCTTGGACATAAAAGACAGTAGTGAAAACCCCATATTCTCCTAGGAGAAGTTTTGGGATTTGGCCCTGCATGCCCGTGTCCCAGCAGGTCTAGGTGAAGGTGGAGGGCCCTGGCAAGTCAGATAGGTGCCATTAAAGTACCAGGTGAGTGGAGAGAGGCAGGGGAATGTACCCGGGATGGAATTTTGTATGGTAACAAGGGGATGGACTGAGGGAAAGGGTTGGTGAGGATAATGGGGGGCATGTTAGGGTGGATGCCGGAAGAGTCTTCCTGGAAGTTCCAGGCCCTGAGCCACTTCCCAGCCACTCCAGGAGACCCGAATATGGGTTTCCTTCTAATTTTAACTCAAACCCACCACCAGCCCACAGGTCATTTGTTACTAATTACACGGGTAATTGGCTCTGAGGCATGGGTGGAGGTAAACCCCCAGAGCAGTCTGAGATGTCTGTCTACCAGCAGGACCCCTGCCCCAAAGGGTGGGGAATGCCGATCACTGAGCAGCCCCAGCTGGCCTGACCAGCCCTCAAAGTTGCAGCAACTTCCCACCAACACACACATCAATGGGGCCTCTAGGCATAGAAAGTGGGGTCACTCCCAGGAAGTGTGTTCTGTTCCCCGGTACGGGTGACCTTGGGAAGTTAGGTGAAGTCACTGACTTTGCATCTGTGAGATGGGGTCACTCCAGTGGTTTGTGGAGGTTCTGCCTAAAGAGGCAGGCTGCTCTGAACAGCCTCCTCAGGAAGGTGGAGGCTGTTAGCACGGTCCTCTGCCCTTCCTCCAGACCTCGTTCCTTCTTTTAAGTCTCCCTTGCCCCTGCCTCCCTGGCCCCTCGTCTGCCAACCTGTTCTTTCCTCCCGTGAGTTTCTGCAGCCCCCCCCCCCGCCCCCCAACATTCTTACGGCGCTGTAATAAAGGCGAGAACACAGGCAGGCAAGGAAAATGGAGTTGCCCTTCCCAGACCACCCTCTGTCGAGCCTGTTAGGTCCCGGAACGTGGAAGAATAGGACAGATGGGGGAGAATCCAGACCTTATGCAGAAGTCCCTTCCCTAGAACCCCAGCTCTGACCCTGCCCTCTGGAAGACCACCCTCTGACCCACTTAATTTCTCTCTCTCTCTCTCTCTCTCTCTCTCTCTCTCTCTCTCTCTCTCTCTCTCTCTCTCTTTCTCTCTCTCTCTGTGGCTGGGATGGTGGGTGGTGCTGGAGACTGAGCACGTGCTCCACCCTTAAGCTCCACCCACAGCCTTCAAGCTTAGGGAATGCTTGAAGTCTGAGTCTGGCTCACTGGTGCATTTTAAGGCGCATGCAGACCTCTGAGGTCTGGAGAGCAAAGGTGTGGGAGTGGGGTGGGGACTGGGGGCTCAGGAGGCAGCTCTAGAACGTGGGTGTATGTAAGTGAGTGCTGGCAGACATGCTAGCCTCTCAAGACATGAGATTGGACAAGCCACAGCACCTCAGTAGCCCCAGAACTGCACACATGAACAGCCAAGCTAGCCTCAAGGCAGGGCCCTGCGGAGCCACCACAGGTCTTCAGGGCAGGTCTGGGTCGGCTTCTGCAGACCTCCCCTTAACTGGCGGAGGCTCAGCATCATAGCTGGGGCCTGTCTCTTTGATCAGAGCTGGATGGGCACGGGTCCCCCGTGGGGTGTGAGGCAGGGAGTGGGCGCTCAAGTCTCCCGCCTCTCTATCGATCAGCACGACAAGCCCTACTCACGTCAGCCGCCCGCTGAACCCAGCACAATCCCTCATGTCTGCATTTAACTGCTAATGAAAAATAAATGTACTGTGACCAATAAGGGACATAGCTCACTTCTCCAGGGCCTCCGTCACACCACTCTGGTGTGGTCTCCCTCCCCTTTCTGGGGTGAGGGTATTTATCAGGAGGCCCCAGGGGTCCCTTCCAGGCTGTAGCCCTGTCCTCTGTCAAGGACACTTATGGGTGAGTGGTGTATTTGGGCCAAGTCCTCTAGGGACAGCAGGGTGCTCTCTGGGTGCTCAGAACTGGTTTCTCTCTTGGTAGCCCCCGTGGTGGGCATCTGCACACTACCCCTGCCCACATGTTTGAGAGTTCTCATACCTGAACTACACTGCACGTAGCATGGACAGCCTTAGCCGCCTCCTGCCACGGTGTGGGCCAACTACACTGACCACTTTCTCTATGACCCCTGCCATCAAGGACGGGACCCAGCACTGCAAACTCAGACCCAAATGACCTAGGACCCTGCTATGAAGCACTTGACTCCTCTAGTTGGTTCAGACATCCCATTCCCTGCTGCCTCAGCGGGCCTGCTGGTTCTGCTTCCACTGTTCGCCTGCTTGAGGGGGTGTCTGAAGATAGGGGCAAGACCCTTGGCTGGCGGTAGCCCTGAACATTCCATTCTGGCATCTGTCACCCCTCCCCATTGGTTACAGAGAGGCCTACTCTTAGGTACTGACTTCCCACCTCCCACGCCCATCTCAGCCTGAAGACTACACATCCTCCCTCTGCACTGGGGCCTACCCTCACTGCCGTGGCAGCTCTCACCACAGGAGACACAGGTGGGTGGTCAAAACTTCTGTCCTCCCCAGTCCTGGTCCCTGCTGTCTGTCTCAAAGCTACTTAGGATAGGTACTCACAGTGCAGACTGGGGATGGATGCCTATTGCTGTCATCCCCAGGGCTGCTGAGGGCCAAACACGGGGCACACTTTGACTGCAGGAGGCTCCTGGAGCTGCATCTGGAAGCCTGCTCAGCCCAGTTCCTCCAACCTGGCCTTTCCCACCCACAGGATGAGAACCAGTAGCCTTCTAGGGCTGCTGTGAGGCTGTTAGGCTGTGGTCACCAGGGACTGCTGGCCAGGTACGTGGGATGGTTTAGCCCTGAAGTGAGGAGTCGTCCCTGCTTCTCTCGAGAGAGTTTGGCTGCTCACTTTGTCAGAAGCTGGCACTCCTGCCCATGCTGCCCCCAGCAAGACAGGAGCAACACCCTAGCAGTCCCCTTCACCATGTCTACTTGGGGATGAGGGGTGAGCATGAGTGTCTACATGTATGTGCAAGTGTGTGTACATGAAGAGACAGGCTGGGGGCCAGAGGGTGGTAGCTACAAACAGGAAGAAAACTAGATGAATCCCTAGGGCCAGTGGCACAAAGAGGCAAGAGAGTCCTGGGTAAGGGAACCTGCTACCTCTTCTGTGACGGGAAATAAACACTTATTTGGCACCCAAAGTGAGTGCCTGAGGCCATTCTGGGCTTGGAACCCTGCAGAGGCAGGCAAGCAGCCCTCTTGCTTGGGAAAACAAGCAGCCCTCTCCGAGAGGCTTGGGAAAACAAAACCCAGTTCAAGCACTGCCCATACCGACAGGAGTGTGGGAGAAGGGAGAGATGATACTTCAGATGGGGTAGCAGGGACCCAGAGGGACCCAGAGGGACCCAGAGGGACGCAGGCTCAGGAGGGGATTCTGAGCCATGGCCAGGTTAAAGAGTGCTTAGGTTTAAAAAGGTATAGTAAGGGTACAGGAAGTTAACTGGGCTTGCTTGAGACCAGCATGGTCAGAGCAGAAGGACTTGGGGCGTGTGTATGTGGGTGTGTGTCACAAAATTGCAGAGGAAGAAGAAATAGAGGACTTTAAGACCCAGGAGGAACTTGGGGTTTCACATGCAAAGACAGTACCTTGGGGGAGGGTAGGCATGGATGTATCAGTGTCCCCCTGGGATGTATCAGTGAAGCAGCCTGCTCGTCTGGGGTCTCAGGTCCACAATGTCACGGGGACTAGTTTAACTATCAACGTTCCACAATTGAGAAGCTCCGGGGAGATAGTCTTGATGAGGGATCTTCTAGATAAGGTTGTCTGTGGACACGTCTGTGGGCACTGTCTAGATAAGGCTGTCTGTGGACACGTCTGTGGGGGAGGATGCAACCCACCAAGGGCAGCAACATTCTCATGGCAGGGCATCCTGGACTGTATGAGAGCAGAGAAAGCTGGCTGAGCATTCTTGTATTCTCTGCTCTTGACTGATGTCACGTGATCAGTTGTTTCAAACTCCCGCCACCTTGATTTCTCCACAATAACGGACTGTCACCTGGAGCTGCGAGCTAAAGGGAAGATGCTTTCCGTCTTGATATTTTTATCACAGCAGAGATGAAGTCAGGACAGTCACCCACCTGAGCATCTGCTCCATCCCATGAGCCTCCTTCCAGGATACAGGCTCCATACAGAACTGTGGTGGGTCTGACTGCGTACTGCCTTTCTTCAGACCATGACTCCCATGGGCAGGAGCCCAGGTCTGGCTTAGATGGCTGTAAAATGTTTGTTAAATGACTGAATGACCCCAATTCTCCCTAAAAATTAACAGCTGTGCAAGGTAGCCCTTCCTTCTTGGTCTACAAGAAGACCCAGAGAGCGGGCAGAGAAGCCCACCGGCAGCTGCAGGTCTCGTACTGCAGGATACTCAGTTCTACTCAGGTACGTTGGACATGTCTCTGCGTGAAGCTGAGCTTGACTATCCTCACTGCTGTGGGGAAGATAGGAGCTTCCTGTGTATCTCAGAGGCCCAGGGTGGGTGTGAACATGTTTTCAAATGTTTTATTTTTAAAAGTACCACGAAAATATGAGGTGCGATTAATCAAAGCTATTAGTGAGGTTGCATTTACTAAGTAAGGCTTCATCCCAGCCAGCAGGGTAGGAGGGGCGGGGGCAGGATGTCACCTGGCCTCCCACAGCTGCAGCCAGAAGCGAGCTCTTTCACCAGCACAGCCAGCACCCTGCTACCTCTTCCTACCACCCGCTCCTTCCATCCTCCCAGCACCCCTGGGTGAGGCGAGCACAGTCAGAGCCAGGGGCAGGATGGCCAGCTGCTTTTCTGCCCCGCCCCTTGGCAAAAACAGACTGGGTCTGAAGGGGGGGGCTGTTCCCCAGCCCTGTGTGTTGTGCCCCCCAACTGCTTTGAGCTGGGGGAGGGGCTCCCAAAGGCTTATTCATAGGTGATGGCTCTTCGCAGGTCTCTCTGGCCTGGGTGTCTCAGCTCCCCAGGCAATGTGGATGCCCAGGAAGGCAGGCAGTGAGAACTGCTTCAGGAAAATATTGCCTTTGGTCTGGGGCTTGAGCTTCCCCTCTGGCCTCACCCCGGGGACTCCCTCTACATCAGGTGGCATCTTGACAACTTGGAATCCCTCAAGGGCTTTAGCACATCCTGTTCCAGGCCCTGCCTCCGTTCAACATTCTGGCTGACAACACCCGTTTTTCTTCCAAGAAAGCCAACACTCAGCATGCCACGTGGCTGACCCTACTCCACCCTGCCTGGCTCCTGGTCCTACAGATCCCCCTCTGCAGAGACGGGAGTCCGAGACCTTGACTGGGATGAGGGACAGGTTCAGAGCTCTGGGTGGCCCTGGAGTTGCTCTGTTATTCCCACAGCAGAGGGCCAGAGCAAGGCCAAACACAAGGTGAGGTCTGAAGCAGTAAACTGGAGATGGCAGAAGGCCAGACAAGTAGACATCTCAGCAGCCACTGAGGCCTGGAATTCCACCAGGCCTGAGTTAAAGGTAAGGCTGGGTTCCCAGCCAAGGTGGCCAGTTCTTTCCTTAGCTGAAGCCACCTGAAGTCAGGACCCTTTGCCCCACTGAGCTGTTTGCACATCTATCTTCTGGTGGCTTCTGCTCCACCTGTAATGCCTGCTCAAACTTCCCTTCTTGCCAGAAGTTTTCCTGACCCCAGACAGTGCCGACCACACTCCTCTGAGCCAAGAGACAACAACCATATAGCCAGTTTTAGGTATGTCAATGCCTCAAAGCCAGTGACAGGAGTGTTTTTACCTCCTACCTATCTCCAGAGCCAGACCAGTGTCTGACACATAGCAAGCGCCCAACAGGGTTTGCTCAATGAATGCTGAACTCATTACCTGGGAAAGGACCAGCACCCAGAAACAAAGGGCAGGAAGTAGAAAGCACAAACTCTCTCTGTTCCCTTCCAATCAATCAGCAAATCAAGCAGTTCACCGGGAAGAGAAATGGCTTCCTCAGAAAACAGAAGTGAGCTCTGGGGAGGCAGAGACCTTCCTGTAGGGGGAGTAGTCTCCAGACCATGAGCCACTGGGCATGGCAGAGGAGTGCAGAGGGGTACAGGAGCAAGGGGGGGGCTGCAGACATGCAGGGTTGGGATTCCTTTAGGCTTGAAACAGCTTCAAGACTTATTTTAATTATTATTTTTTTCAAATTCCGTAATGGGAAGTTTGCCTACAAAGGCCTAATATAGAAGGATACATACATTCTGGGAGGAGGGGAGGAGAGGTGAGAGGGAGCCGGGAGAGAGAAAGCACAGGCAGAAGGGCAGGAGAGGGAGGTAGCAAGTCCCCTACACCTGCAGACTGCAGGTCTGGGAAGGGGGGCACGTGGGGTTCCAGGCGGTAACTCAGAGCACTTGTCTGAAAGCGAAGACAAGGTTCCAGAAATGCACCTCAGGAACCTTTGCAATCCCTAGAAACCTAGCAGCCCTTGGCACTGCCCACCAACTGCTTCAGTCTGGCTGCAGCCTAGAAAGAGCCACATCTCCCCATCTGTGAAAGGACGCGCAGTGGTGACCGCACAGGAGGAGGCAGGGTCAGAGCAGTGACACCCTTGGTCATCTGTCTCTCCAGCCATAGCTCCTAGCCACCCAGGACTCCCTGGGGGACAGGTCGACACCCAGGCTGTGGTGACAGCGGTGGTCCCTTCCATTTAGGATCATGCACAAAGAAGAGACTGGAGTGGGAGAGACCCCACAGTGTCTTGGAAGGTATGGCCGTTCCCGACCTGCTCTCAGACACATGTGTGCACACACTCTGGTTTCCATGGTAATATGTGCATGGAAGGTGTCATAGAAGCAGAAGCCACCATTCCAAGATTGGAAGAAAGTCACCCTCGTCCCCAGTAGGTTCCAGGGGCTTAGACACAAGGAGAGCCACAAGCATGGTGAAGACAGGCAGGCAGACTGCATGCCAAGGAGGAGTGTGGCCTTATGGACTAGCTCCAAGGATGGTGGCCAGACACCCTTGCCCTGGCTGCTGCAGACCAGGCATGCTGGCACTGCAGTCCTAACTGCCTCCTGTTGCACAGAAGAGAAATGCATGTGACACCAGCCACGTATCCCGCAAGTACGGTAGTTACAACATGGGCATTTCCTCAGCCTGGCTCTGCCAGAACCACCACCTCACCCTCCTCACCCGTCTCTCAAACTCACCAAACTTAATCCACCACTGGGCCTTTGCACATGCCCTGTGTCCCTCTTCCCAGAGCTGCCCCTCTCAGACCCTCAGCTCTAGTGTCACCTCCTCTGGGAGTCCCCATGGCCACACTGTATCTGCTCCCCAGTCTACTCTGCAGGTACCTGCCACAACCTGAGGTCCCCTGCTCTTTCTCAAACTGAGGCACACAGCAGCATCCACTCAGCACCCACCGGGGGCCT